CGATGCCAATCCCGAAGGGCCGACCCTCCGTCCTCCTCACACGGACGGGCCCTGACGCGCGGAGACGGCTCCTGCGGGCAGAGCCCCTCTGAAGATGATGCTGCCTGACAACGCGAATCAATTCAGCGTTCCTTCATCTCATTCCAGACCAACGGGCCTTCTGGTGGCGCGATAGCGAAAACGTGCGCTGCGTTGCCTGTCCTGATCGAAAGGGTTAATAATAGTGGTCACCGTCCCGGACACGGCAGCCGCCCCGCAATCTGCTGTGCGACAGCTATTCCTGTCTTCATGCGTCAAGACCTTAAGCCTTTCTTCTTTGACACAAGAGATTAAGGGCAATCCCGACAAATTCAAACCCAGATCAAGTACGGGACCCCGGCGAGATGAACTACCAGCCTAGAAATTCGCCGGCGCAGGCTGGACTCCCGGGTTTCTCACAGGAACCCGTCCCCCCTGGTTTTGCAGGTTCAGCATCGGGCAGCACATCTCCCGTTTCCGAACCCACTCCAGGCGGTGGAGGCTTCACGTGAATCGCAATCGGCTGCAAACAACTTGGCCAACACCATTTTTTTAACCTTTATTATTGTTTAGCTGCCGAGCATGGGTACCTACAAACACTGATCTGGGAACTGACAACCTCGCGAGGCATTTGGCTGCTTTCTGATTCTACTTCTGCCTCCAAAAAGCGCTATTTCCACGTACCTTCGGGACAGGGCTAGCTGCTGAATTTCAGACCAAGCATCCCTGCCCCATAGTTCTCACCAATTTACTTTTCAAACAGCAATTCTGCCCAAAATGCCCCTGAAATTTATGATCGTGATAACAAAAGGGCAAATTAGAATAAGGTCATTAATATTATTGCTTACACAAATCGCATTATTGCCTTTTGCAAAGCAAGCAAATCATTATGAACTTGTGTCTTATTAGCCGCTATTTTATAGTAGCTTTTTTTATATATATACACAGACATATATATACACGCATTCACATGGGATATGAACTTAGATGCATTGCTTTGGGTAGCAGTTTTCTTTAGGCTTCTGCTAACCAACAACTGTGACTTCCCTCTAGTGGTCACTTATTTTTAAACATTAAGGATTAAAGACTGGGCTGCCTCTCACATTTAAAAAAAATAATCAGTTTGCTTTAGAAAAATAAATATGAGCTTCCCCTTTGATAAAGTTTATGGTCATTCCCTAATTTTAATAGAACAGCAGAGGCTGGCTTCTTATTAAAGCAAAAATTGTGAACCGAGCATCTGGTGGGAAAAAGCTGGGAAGAAAAAATAATCTTACCTTAATAAAAGTTCTTGCTGGCTAATTGGCTCATTAATTGTTCAAGTTATATAATTACACCTACAAACTGTGGCTTGCGGACCACTACAAAATTAAAGCTATAGTATTTACTTGTACCCAGTGTAACCAGTTTTCTAGTGCTTCCTCATGTGGCGTTTGTGTCTAGAGACCATCAGACGGCCTAGCAAGGACACTTTTCCTCCCCTTACTGGAAATCAAACTATTCCAGTCCATGTCAGCTTTTTTTCCATTCCTCTGTCCTCTGACTTGGCCAGAAACTGTTTCAATTAGCTGCCTTTTTTTTTTTTTTCTTCTCCTTTCCTCTGCTCAAGTTTTTCCCTGAAGAACCTCTTCAAAAACATTGATTTTGGTATTCCAGCTTTGGAGCCCGCATCGTGTAGGCTCTTCATGTATCAGTTTGTATGGCTCCCTTGTATCTTCCTTATCTCAACAACTTGGAAAACATCCACTTTCCTCAAATTACTGAACACCACTAGTCAAAATTCCAAAACAAAAGGAAAAGAGTCTCTTCAGCTGGCCTTGCCCTATACTTACAGAAAGCAGTTGCTTCTCAGAAGATAGTTTTAGCTTGCTTCAAAAATAAAGGAAATTAAAGCAACTGCTTTGTGCATTTGTTCGTCCTTCTGTCTATTTCCCCTACTCCAAACCTACAAACTTACTGGCAATTTTCAATTAAAAGTTTGACAGAAGATTCTAAGATTAGTAAGTCCTTCTAAGTCTCTTGAAACAATAGCTGGATAAATAGAAAAAAACCCCAACCAAACATAAAATTCTCTGGAAGTCGAATGTCGTACTATTAATCTCGCTCTAGCCTTGCAAGGGCTCCTGCTGCCTCTCCCACGTGGGTAAAGTAGCTTTTGGCTGCTTTTCTCCTTTTCCCCTCCAGGCCAGCTATCTTACTGGCTGTTTCTCAAATCTTTACATGAAACCTCAAATATTATACCTTTGTTCTTTCATTTTCTCTGTCCCAAGAGTTTCATTTCCGCTTCCTTTTCTTCTTACGGCGCTGTAAAGGCTAACTTTTCATGCCAGCATGCCTGTAAGGCCTCTTGCTACAACACATATATTGCAGACCAGCTACTTGGAATATATTCTGAATACTGCCATTTAGAAAACTTAATTTCTCCCCTTAGCCCTGTGAAGTCTCAAAGCCCTCTAGATCTTTGCAAACACAAGGCAGAGCAATGTATGGAGCACGCTGCTATCCTCTCAGATAAGATGCTGGATTTCAAGACCAAAGCATCCCTCTTTGGAAGTCTTTGGACTTGGAAATAGGGCAGCACCCTCTGGAAGATGCATATCAAGTGTCGTTTATTATCAGAGATAAATGAAGTTCATTTCTTAATGCAGCACAAGACCTAGCAATCTCTAAGAAATTAGGCACCGGAATTCAACCGTCTAAACTTTCCCTGTTTGAAGGCTCAGGTCTGAAACCCTGGGCACTCGTATTTGTGCAACGTGCCAGGCTGGAGACCTGGTATTTTTCCTCCTCTCCACTAGTATCCAAAATGTAACAGAAAACCAGGCAGAATGAAATCCAACTTACAGAGCCGACTTAGATTTTTGACATGATGCCATGGTTTTTTTTCAGCTGACAGGGAAACCACACTATCTTCTAAACTTACTTTATTTTACCTGAGCACCTCAGGGTGAGAGAGAACAGGTCGAAAGGCTGGCCGGGTCCCGGTGACAGGAGCTGTCTCCTGCCCTGCCTCACTCTCCAACTTGTAACATATGCAAACCCATTACTTGCAAGCTGGCTTCAATTTTATCCCACAGGGCTTCCTTGGGGGACAAAGCCAGTGCTGTCAAATTCACAGTTGGGCAAACTTCTCCAACCCCAAATGAAGGATCCATCTTTCAGATATTAAACATGATCTGAATTTTTTATCAGCTCATTGACATGCGAGCACAGTAGGGAACTTTGCATATTTTTTTGTTGCCAAAAGTCATGAGATCACAAGGATCACAATTTTCCTCTTTGCTTACAGTCACAATGGATCACATCCACTGCCTGTCAAAGTCCTGTTGACATATATTTGTCTTGACAGTTTGGTCTAAAGTTTCCACTTCATGTGTACAAAGAGCAGCAAGACATCCCTTCAGAGATTAAAAAATGATGGCCAGTTGGCTTTATTTGCACCCCAAGAGGCATCATTTGGGAGTAGAGTCCTACAAGTAGCATGTTCAGTTATTTCCATCTTCCCATGATACCAGCTGCTGCTTCTGCCAGTCCTCTGCAAGGCTCTTTCCTAAGGTAGTGGGAGGGGGAGGACTGAGAGAGGGAGGGAGGCAGAAACACAAGCAAGGACAATTACTTTTCAAAAATTACAGAAATCTCATCCTCTTCCGGCTTTTCTCCTCAGTTCGTCTTTCAGAGAAGAAAACACTTCCATACCATAAACAGTATTTCTTCATGTATTATTTCTATAGGTTCTGTCTTAAAATGGGCCAGACAGCATACGAAGATAATTTTGTTCCCGAATCTTTTGCCACTTTGCCTCCACTATGTGGAGCCACAAGGAAACTGTATTTTCCTAGGAACAGTGCGAGAATAGAAGATTACAAAGAAAATTACCAGTGGGGTATCCTCTTTAATTCCCTCCAGATTTATACAATCACTTCAGTGAGAATAAAACCAAAAGCAAAGGTATATCACTAAAAGGAAAATGTAGCAACTGTATGTATTAGTACACTTTGGGGAACATGCACAAAGAACGTATGGGTGTCTCCAAAAATGGTTATCGTATGAAATCTTTTGTCCCAACAAAGCCTAGGGAATTCAGACCTCTCTTTTCAGGGATTATTCTTTAATCAGAACAGAAACAGCTGCATTTCATATCTCCCAGTCAATGCACATCGCTGGAATAATCAACAGATACCTGTACAGAAAAACAGGCAGCCCAATATCTGAAGGTGCCAGAACTGAGACTATGCAGACGACAGAAGCTGGAAGAGCCAGGGGTTTCCAATCACACATCGGACGGCTGACAGAATGGCTTCTGACTCAGTGATAAAATCCCTCTTTCAAGCACCGTGGCCAAACATCAACTTTCTGATGTATCTCCTGAAGCATCTGCATCTCTTGGAATCCATGGCTCTCCTGCAGTCTTCTCTGCAGAGCAGCTGCCCTCCTGCCCAGTCTGTTTCCATTCATACACAGAATAGACAAGATATGAAAAGAGCATTGCAATGGATTTTGTGTACTGTAAAAGAGGTTATTTAAAATTTCCTCGCTTCATGTACTGTTTAAAAACAGACACCCAGAATTCTGTATGTCAGACAATTCCTTTAGGACACAAAATCCTGATTTGGGATCCTATCTGAGGGCTCTTAATTTCAAATAAACATTCTTATTTTCTCATGTTCACTCTTGCAGGTACGGAACATGACTGTTTCGGTTTTTTTTCTTTGCAGAAATATGACTAAATAAAACATCCATGGAAATAAAATGTAAAGAGCAGATTTCAATGGGAAATGGTCAGACAAATGCACATTTTTTCAAATGGTAGCATGTAAAGACATGCAACTTTCCATAAATAATTTGGCTGCAGTACATGAAGTCCTGTAACATCACGGGAACAACTTCTGCCAGACTTGTTTCATGCTTTTTTCCACTTGGAATTCCTAATTACATGGTGAATCAGATGTGATTTTTACTGCTAGTGTAAACAGAACAAACAGTGAAATTTTAAAACCACATTTATTTTTAATACAAAATCTGTTGCACTATTACAGAAGTGAGCCTGTATGTTTACCCCCACATGCACAGATAATTCAGCATCTACAATTAAATAAGAGTAAAATCATATTTTTCTTTTACCAAAACCATTGGCAAATCTTATTAAGAAATGTTCTCTTTGTGCTTTGTAATTCATGTTTGTAGAATTCATTTCTTATTTCGGTTCCCATTAAGAAAACTGATCAATGGAAAGCTCAAAGGTGCGAAAGAAGCTTATTACAGGTAGCTTACATTTGTGATTACTTCAGTTGTGCTTTACCTACAGTATATACATGAAAGCTGTGAGGTGTACTATGGTCTAACGTAATGCACTGGCAAAAGCTCTGACTGGTTCAATTAGGAATCTGCAGTAAATAAGCAGAACAGTTCACTATTCCGTTTTCACAGCAAAAAAAATATATATTTAAGTAGATGCTTTAAAATACCATGCACACCATTGGCTATAGTACTTCTTATACAGTACAACATAAGCTTTCTTGTTTTATTTGTCTGTAACACCTAGAAGCATATAGCATCTACGCTTTAAGTGTATTTACAAATTCAACAAAATATCTACATATAAAAAGCTTACTTAAAATTAAACTTGATGCAAGTTATGAAAAACCAATTTATTGGCAAATGAAACTGAGCATTCCTTCAACCATAGGTTGTTATAAAATTTATATTTGGAGGTAAACATTTGATTGATATAGTATGCGAGAAAATAATTTTGTAACCTATAATGGTAATCCTTTACCACTAAACCGTATTAGCACTTGTCAGATTGAATTCTGTGGTTCCAAGCGGTAACCCCCACACTGCTTCAGGGTGTAGATAATTACAAAGCTGCCACACTGATCAGGCTGGAACACAGAGGGAAATGCACTCTCGCTGGTGTAGTTGGCTGGTTTGGTTTTTTAACAATGTATTTTACAAGAGCTTATACCTTGCTGTGTTAGTAAATAATTTAATTCTTGTTGTGTTTTGGTTTTGTTTTGTTTTTTGTTGTTTTTTTTTTTTAATCTGCTAAGGCCATGAAAACATGTTGTGCTGTAACTGTCTAGAAAGCATTTATTTTATTTTTAAAGGAAAAAAAATCATACTCTTCTTTGTGTAATTTAAAATATCTAAAACCTTCCATTTTTAGCACAACAGTTTCATAACACTTTTTTTCTTCACATTTTTACTTTATTTGGCAATGATAGTAGTCCGCTAATCACAGTTTACTGCACCAACTGATTTAGTAGTACAGCGCATTATGGAATGCATATTGTATAAAGGCACTGAATGTATTTTGCCCTGTGTTTTCTGGAATATTTTCTCTCATTTTTAAAGTTTTTCTTTCAGTGACTGTACAAATTCCAAAATGCATTGCAATGCGTATCTTTTATGCCCTAAATCAATTCAATGTGTTTTGATGTAAAAATAGAACACTGTACTGCTGTAATACTTGATAGATTAAAAAGGCTATAAAGTAATAGGAGCAAAGAGCAGATAATAGGGTCTCATTAAGCATCAGCAAATGCAAGTGTCATACTTAAATCATTTAGCAATTATATACTGTACATACTGTTCCTAACTGTCTTGCAAAAAGACATATGATAGCTAGACATTAAGTCACCAATTTCACAACAATGTCCACAAAGACATTGAAGTTCTATATAATACTACTATAACACTCTGACAATGAAAACGGAATTCATATCCAGGGATTCAGCTGAGGACTGCATAACAAATTGTCAAACCATGTTTTTATAGTGTACACAAGATTATCTGTGAATTGTGTAGCATTTTTTTTCCATGCATTATACTGTATTTTCAACAGGAAACAAAATTACAAGTCAATGTTATTGTTTGTGTCAGTTCCTTTTAAAAAAAAGTAAAAATACCCAAGTTTTGAACAGAATTTCATACTAACATACCACTTAATGTGTCATTATGCTGTATAACTGTATTGACCTGCATATTCTCATAGCATAAACACCTTGTGGTGAGGAGCTCCGTTACCTGCATGTTCATAGTATGAGAAGGAGGATGTACAAGTGCTTTAAACAAACTGAAGATACAAGGGGATTGAGTTCTGTGGTTACACAAATGAATTCATGGCATTTACAGGAGAAGGAGCCTCAGAGCTTTCATTTCCTTCTGCAGGTTCTTTCTCTTTTTTACCACTATATTGTCCAATAAAGGAGCCATCCTCATTGAACTGACCATTTACACCTTCTCCATAGTCAACTAAACTATCATCACTGTCTTCTTTTTTCACAGTTCTGTCTGAAGGTGTCCGGCTTCCTTTTTTCAGAGGTTTATGGTCCTCTGCATCACTGGAGACACAAAAAAACAAACAAACAAAAGGAATTAACTGATGTATTATATATTAAGACAAAATCAGCCATGCATGCAGAGTTTGTAAGAAGCATGTGTGCAGCCCTATAATCCTTTAGTAAACCCACATCACATTGTAGAGACAAATCAATATGATGCAGTTGGCATGAATATATGGTGTAGGAATGGTTTAAACAGAGAATGTCTTCAGTGGAAGGGGGGGGGGTTGTGGTTTATTTTTTTGTTGTTTTTTTTTTTCCCCCATCGTGCATGACTTTTCAATGATAAGACCTGCGCCCTTGGCTTGGAAGCAATTTAGATGCAACTGCAAGCATTAAAAAGTGGGTTGTAAAGTTATAAAAAAAATAATTTATTTGTTCTCCAAAGTAACAAGCTTATGATGTGCCGTGAAGTTAGTCTGTTAAACTTCTTAATTTCTTTGACCCCTTGAACATGAATGAAGAATGAATTTGGTTAAATGAAATATACTGATTTTCTTTACTAGTATAAAGAAAATAAAAGTGCTGCATTTCAAATAATTTGTTACATAATGCAGGCCAGACTTGCAATTTTCAACCTTACCTTTCAAGAGACCTACATATTCCATTAAAAGGGTGCAGAAGAAACAAATGAAAATAGCCTAAGAAGAAAAGCAAAGTCCATATCCTGATAGTGATCAGTATTTTATGAATAATAATTTGCTCTTAAAATTGCTAAAACATTTACTGTATACAGGTAAAGCAACAATTTAGCTTACAGTAGCTACAGCTAAGTAGTTAAGAGCATGCTTAGGTTTTTTTCATTACTTATGAGATTAACCTCCTTATCCTAATCCATAACTGATAAAATGTTCTGACAGCGATGATGGTGATTTGGAGGACAACAGTGAAAGGAAAGAAAGGCAGGGAAGAGAGATCCCTGTAGCAAAGTACTGTGGTCTTTCCCTTGTCAGTGGAAAAGCTGCCGCACCATCGTCATCCCCAAATAAATCTGCAGCTGTGGTAAGCTCATATTTCATGAAATAGATGTAGTTGAGCTCTTTTCAGAATCCTTTACACTGCACTTCAGTTTCAAGATGAAGATTTCAGCAGCAGCTCTAAAGCATTTCCAATTAAAAACCACTATTGCCAGCTGCAATTTTGGGTGCAATTATTTACCTTGTCTTAAACAGAACATGTGACTTTATTTGCATGCAGCGTACAAAAGAGTAAGTGATTTTGTGGTTTTTTTTTTTTTTTATTTAAAGACTCACAGCTTATGGAAAATATAAAGAAACATGTATAGAGTATCAAGGAAATAAAAATATATTTACAATATCCACAATATTAGGCCAAATATATATTCAGCAAATTATTTTAACTGTGTAATTCCTATAAACAAATACCTTATTTCTTCCAATAATTATATTTTTTTTTCCTAATTAATATCTTTGAACACCCAGAGAAACCATATATATATATAGCATATACAAGGTCACACAGATTATTTTGTTAGCTAACAAATGCCCTGTTGAGAAACATTTCACTATTGCTAGAAAACCACTACACCAATTTTGCATCAAGCTGCTTCTCCTCATCTCATCACTTTTTTTGGCTTTGGAAGACTTTAAGTTATCACATTCTAAAAGAAGTACACCTCTAATATGCACATACTTACAGAAAAAGCATACCAGAGATTTTATCCTTCTATGCATACACAAGAAAGAAGTGGTAGGAATATCTATCTTACTAACATGTAAGAAAACCTTCATGTTTAAAATACACAAAGGCAAAAACTCTAAACTTGACTGTATCCATCCTGACTTTTAGTTATTGCTGTGTACATGGCATGAGGATAAATATCATATCATTGATCTTCTGTGCTCATTGATATTGCAAACATATAGGCTAGTAATGTTTAAAAGAATGCTACTCTAAAACGTCAAGCATCCAGCAGCAAATTGCAAACATTTATAACACTGCGAACACAAGCAGATTACAAAGATTTTACTGAAGACAGTTCATTTTGGCAGGACCCTATATTTAAAAGGGTGAAGACAGAATCGAGTATTTTAAAATCACACAATGTAGCTTCTCCATTGCCCTTGTCAGAGGGCATTAGAGTCATTAAAACAGGCTATTCAAGCCAAAAAGACCAGACCCTCACTTTGAAATAGTAACCGCTCCTACTCCCAAAGAAGAATGACCTGCAGTGGTTAATGCTTTCTGGGTAATACCATTTAGTAAAGAACATTGTGCATATGGTTTGCTGTTTAATTTTAGGTGAATAACTTCATAATTGCTTACACAACAATATGTAGGAAGGAAAAGAAATTAAAATTGCATTTGTACCGTATTCCAACTGGTCAGGAAACTGCAAATATTCTAAAGTGTGACTCTATCCAGTGTAATTCACTAGGCTGGATTATATAGTAAATAAATAATACACTGTCACTGTATTAAAAATATTCACATTTTTGTGTTTAATCCAATAAAAAGGTCAATTTTCACTTATAAGTTAGATAAATCTGAGTATGGGAACTTCTGTTTCGTGTTGCTCTTAGGGTTTTCTTGTTTGTATTTTTGTAAACAAAGTTTATTTATAAGCCAAACAATGAAGGAATACTTACACAGTTGGTTGCATTGTGTCTGTGATTTTTCTATATTTTAGTAAGGATGTGGATTCTACTGCCTGTATAATTAGAAACAAACAAAACTGCCCATTTACTCAGGCATTGTACCTGCATGGAGGTGGGTGCTGGTGTGAGAGCAGTTACAGCAGATGCAAAATCAAATCTGAACCTGGGGATTCCCTCCCTTTTTGCACTATGCAAGCCCAGAAAGAGGTTTTGCCAACTCTGGCAGTGGAAAAACAAGTGGGATTATCCACGGTGCTTTCCACTCCTTGTTCAGGAAAAGGAAACATATGCCATGGTACCATTTATTCTTTATCAGACTGGATTATGACTTTTGTATTAGATGAATATAATGTTTTGGGTGGAAGGGAAAGAAATCGAGGAAGAAAAAAAAAACCAAAACAAGCAGGAGAGAGAGGAAAAAAGCAAAGACATCCATGTTTTGGACAGCACTTTTGTTACCCTCAGGGTGCAAAACAGAAAAGAGACCCCGGTGCTCTGGGGAAATGAATGTATTTTCTGTTTGTTGCCAAGAAGCAAACTGCAAAAGCTGCTGAATTGCATTATGAACATGGATGCCCAAAGAGCTATAGAACATGTTGGCTGTAGGATATATACTATATTGCAAAAACATGTTAAAGCTATCTGCAAGATTTGCTAATCTTGCTTATGATTGTTCATAAAACTATTCCAAAATGCCACCAGGATAGATCATAATTTCTTTTAGTTTTTGTTTGTGGTTTTGCTTGCTGACTTTTATACTTACTTAGTGTAATATAGTGAAATAAAAGTTAAAGTGCAAATTGGTTTGACTAAAATTACAGTGGAAAACTGAAGAAGTTTTTGAAAAGTGTCATGTATGCAGTGCATACAATTAACAGTGAGACAACAAGCACTGGGAGGGAACAAAACAAGAGGTGAGAATGGGTATGAACTCTGTACTATAGATCAGACAGCCATGGAAGTTAAATGTAGTGATACTTTTACTATTTGTTGTCTTGCAAATGAATTCCATACTAGTAGCTTTTTAAGGATGAAAGTTTCTCAGTGAAGACTGATATATACCAGTCATTTTGCTAAGTACTTATATGTACCACACATATTTCTTGCCCTTTTAGTAAGAACAGTATTTAATATTAAAGCATACCATAAAAGCATGATTAAAATATTTTTCATGAACAATTGCTAATATATGAATACATGTTTCTTTTTCTTCTCAGTTTAATGAAACACATATCAAACTTGCAGCTAATGATTAAGAGATACACCAAGTATGGAGGTGACAATAACATGTGTAAGTGCAAAGTACAAACTTATTTTTTTAAAAAAACGTACTTCCATTTCACAAGCTCATCAGTTATTGAAAGAAATATGTACCTTGAAATCTCCTTTCTTCTTTCAACTTTTCAATTTTTCTTCCTTAGATATGGGTACATGCAGCAACCAGTCAGAATGGGGAAGACAGTTTTACGATGCCTCTGCAGTCCAGCAGGCAACTAGTTCCCACTAAACTTTGCCACATTCATGGACATGCAAAAAGACTCAATATATGGTTAGCAATATACTACTTTTCCTTATAACACAACTGTCAGATGAAAGGCAACATAAAAGAAACAAAATGAGTAAAGCATTCTGGGCTATTGGACACAGAAAGAGGATGCAGAAGATGAAAACTGTTGGCAGTAAATTCCTTTTTCTGTGCCCTCAGGTCAACAGTCCAGGAATGTTTAAGTATAAGCAGACACCTAAAGCCACAGAAGTACCTTACACTACACCTTCCCTGCACGCTCCAGAAGAAGAACCTCTGCCCCAATACTTAATAGGTTTCTGCTCATGCTCCTAAATTGATAGGTCTGTGCAGGTGAAAAATGCTTTCCCTTTACAGTTATACACCTGTATCAATCCAGACTTCAAAACATTCTACTATTTCTTACCTAGCTAAGACATAAGCACATCTGTATTGGCTTTCTGAGTAGTTTTTCTTTAGCATCTCTGTAATACTCAATCTTCAATCCTGGCAGAAGCTGGGAAAATTGGGAGATTAAGCTCTGGCTTTAAATGGTGATGGGTTGAAAAAATTGTTGTTAGTCAAAGAAACCAACTCACTCCTTGTGAAAATTTTAAAGAAAAATCTGCTTGAGAGAAATTCAACCAACTTTCCACCTTTGCTATTTCTGGTGGAAAATTATACAAAGGGAAATCAAAGCACTGATTTAAAAAGTAGTGACACAGATGTTCAAGACTTAAAATAAGAACATTCAAAGAAAGCACATAAATGAGGACACAGTAAGACCACTGTCAAATCCAATCAGACTATTCAAAGACAAGAATTCTTCAGGCAGTCCATTGACTTCATCTCTTGCACTAGAAGGGACCAAGCTTAGAAATACAGTTTTGAGGCACAAGTCTTTGCTAGGTCCCCCTGCAAACATACCTAAGCTGCAGTAAAACTTGAATAACTAAAAGGGAAAAAAATACTACTATAATTACAAACTATATTCTCATTGTTAATCAACCCAGAACAAGAAGGAAGAGTAATATATTATCTAGCAATCTCAGAACTCTCCACCAACCATTTCTAGAAAGTCTCTCATAGCATACCCAAGAATTTCTAGGAAAAATATCATGTGTGTCAAAATGTTGAAGAAAAGAGGCAAAATAATTCAACAAAATGTGCAAACATCCTGTGTTGCCACACTAGCAGTCCTACTACTGTAGTTGCCTTGTCCTGTTTGATCTTTCTAAGAACATTTTGCAGACTGCGATAACATGCTAAATTTTCATACTTCCTGTGAAGTTAACTAAGAAATGCATGCTTGCAGTCTCTCCCTACCCACGAATCCACAGGTCTCTAGATGTCATCACTTCTTAATTTCTCTTGATTTAGGGCCCAGGATGGAAATTTAGGCTGATTTATACACTTACACTGACCTGAACAGGAGCTCGATAGTCTTTAATTTTAATTTAAAGAACATACATTTGTGGTACTTCTTGTGTTTCTTGCCGTTTGTTGGTGTAAATATTGACTGTCCACAGTTTACTATCTCAGCCTTCTACAACTCAGGAAACCACTGGGACTGTAGTGCAGTTTGCTACGGAGGCACTGTTTTCCCTTATTATGTAGAAGTGCAGCTATGCCTCCAGTCACAGCAACATAGTGTTCCTGGTCATTCTGTGGTTCCTGAAACACCTGCATTTCCTAAAGCGTCATTTCCTTTATCAGATTGATATGGCAGGAAAATCCAATGTTGGCTGGTTCCGCAGAAAGTATGCTCTTAGATGAAGTTGAAGAGTGCAAAACTTCAAACAACTCCAAGCCATCCCAAGAATACTGGGAAGCCTAGAAATTGAACATGACAAAAACCTCCCCTAAAATTGAGACCTATGACTTCTCTAGATTATCTTAACTACTCATTAAGATTTAAGTAATTTAATAATTTAAATCTTATCTTGAACCAACTAATTTTCTAAGCATTGGGCTTACTTGTCCAGAAATATTTAAGTCTATTCAGTATAAATTTCCAAGTCTTTTGCTCTTCCCAGTTCCTGAGAAAGGAGGAAGCAAAGTCTATGTTCTCAGAAAGTTCCTCTTGATGGTCTGGTGTCTCTCTGAAAGTGAGATGTCCTTTCATTCTTGGCATGAAATGATTGTGAGATCTTATACTTTCCCTTCCCTCCTTTAAACTTCGGAGGAGAACGAACAGAGCTCAGACACTTGTGAGGGTAAGAAAATGAAGACCTTCCAACTGAGCTCTTTTTTTTCAGCTGACGTAAGGAGTGTTTGTGTTCTGAGAAATCCTTCATGATCTGGACCAAGGATTCACCAAATAGCTTGCCGCCTGTGTATGGTAAAGACAGCAGTTTACATTTTAGATCTAGCGATGAGGTCCAAGGACGTAGCCATATAGCTCTCCAGGCTACAGTGAGGCATGCCATATTTTTAACAGTGAGTCTAAGAGAATCCTCAGCTGCATCATGGATAAAATTAGCTGCAATTTTACATAGCCTGCGTTTCCTCTGCATGGCACCAGATGGGACCCATTTCTTTTTGAATCTGGCTTGTTCTTCCTCCAACCATATTAGTAACGCTTTAGAAGCGTAAGTGCAGTAGATAGATACTCCAAGCTGGGCTGCAACTAGCTTGAAAGATCTTTTAATTGCTTCCTCAACCTTTCTATCAGTAGGATCTTTAGGGAGAGCATCCATATTAGCAAGGACTGGTAGTACAGAATCACCAGCAACCAATGCTCTGTCTACCTGAGGCAAGGTCCCCCATAAAGCAGCTTTATTCACTGGAAAAGGATAGAGCTTATGTAGGACTGCCGGGGCTTCATGTTTTGCCTCAGGATTACTCCAAATCCTACAGACAAGATCTTCCACTGCTGAATGGATAGGAAGTGCATTATCTACCTTTCCTTCTTCAGAGGGGATAAGCAGTTCTTCTGAAGCACATTCAGATTTGGAAGATTTTAGCATTAACACTCTCTTTATGTGCTTGAACAGATAAGTCTGATTCTTCATGTCAAACTTACGCAGAGGATCTGGTCCTTCTTGGTCTTCTGTAGAGGACTCAGATAACACCTCCCCATCTTCAGGGGATGACTCAACCTCCAAGCCCTTGTCAGCCTCAGATTTCTCCTTCCCAGAAGCTGTTTGATCTTTTAAGCTGTCTACATGGTCAGACTCAAAAGTTTGGGAACTGCTCCCAGTTGCTTCTAGAGGAACCACTGGAACTTCTGTAATTGGCACCCTGGGATGCTTTACTGAATGGGACCTAGCCTGTGCCACAGAAGTTATACTTTGTCTGGCTGCTGTCAAAGCATCCTTTAAGACAGTAGCTAGCTCAGGCAAAATCACAGATTTCATTAATGAATTCTTTTCAGATTCAGAGAAGTGAGTAGTAGCAGAAGGTCTTACCTTCCTGTGGGAGGAGCTCTGAGCGTCTTCTGAATCTGAGCTGTAGTCTGGGGTCTGGCTGAACCAGTGCTGGAGAGAAGAATGCTGCCTTGCCAGTGAGCCACGAACTGAGTTGCAGCTGGGGGTTTGCTGGAAAGGGGATGGCTGTCCTCCCTGAGAATCTGAGCCCTCCTCCGACCCCATTATCTGGTGCTCAGAAGTATGATGTCTAGAGCCATGCCTGTACTTCCATTCGTCTGACCTCTTCTCCTCTCGGCAGAGGGAAGCAGAGACAGAACTAACCCTTGTAAGCTCTGAAGACTGCCTAGCCTTCCTCCTGGTGTAGGAGGTCTCTGATCTGGTGCTGGAGTATTGATCCCCTGACCTTCTGAAGAAGTTGGATCTGTCAGATCTCACAGACTTTGCTTTTGTAAAGACAGGGTCTGCTTCAGGAGAATTGGCACAGCTACCTTTTCTTTTCTTTTCCTTGTCCAGTTTCTTTCCTGTCCAAGCAGACATGGACCTGAAGTGATGAAAAAAGTTCAAAATACTCGAATTCCTAGAACTTTCAAAAATTACTTTTTTGTTCAAGGGAAACCCTATACCCTTTTTCCTCAAAGAAGCACTGCATCATGGCCAGTGCCATGTGAGGCAGACAAACTGGGAACTGAATGACTGCAGTGATGCTGGGCTGCAGAGAGGGTGCCAAGATATCTTCTGTAATCTGACTGGTTGCTGCTGCTGCCCTGTCTCTAAGGAAAAAAGAGGAAAGCCCAATATAGACTAATTACACAGAAATACATTTTAGAAAGGAGTTTTTGCATGGTAAATAGGATGAGCTCTTTCATGTGAACAAGTCTGAAAGCTTGGCATGCATCCGTCCATATTCACCAGACATGAGGTGGATAAATGCATCATAAAATAATTTAATAAAGCACTAGATGATTCTATAGATTAACTCAAGCCACTTAAATATGGAGACATAAATTCAAATCTTGCTACAGGTCACACATGAAAGAAGACTTGAACAGTCTTATTCTGGGTCTGAGAAAACACGTACTGAGGTCATATCATTTGTACAATTCTGTACAGAGGTCAGTTTCTGCTGCTGAAAGTTCCAAGTATCGAAAAACTGAGGAGATAAAGGAGAATGCAAACTGGACTGCCTAGGAAAAATTACACAGTACTTATTTACATCTCTGCTTCCAAACATTGCTTCACACTTCCCTTTTTATCAGCCGAATGTAATTAATCTATACGCACTTAGTGCTGTAATAAAATACTACTCTGAACTCATTAACCTAAGAACAGAGTATCGTATTTTTTTAAAATCAAGGAAGAATAAACAGAAACTGCTCTTTGGCATTCAGAACTGTAAATCTATTCCAGTCAGATCAAGATGCACATCTCCCTTATATAAAGAAGCTATGGCAACAGAGCAGATCCTTCTTAAAAAACCTGATTTTTCTATGTACATTTGTAAATGTCACATCTTCAAAATAATAAAGGGCTTTTACAATGCTTTTGACACAGGAACGCACTATAAAAATCTGTTATAACAACCATGTAAAAGATAACGGTATTGACATATTTAGAAAATAATAACAATATTTCCTCTACTAATCAAAAACCAACAAATAACACACTGCTTATTTAATAAGGTATACTCATATTTGTTATATGAGCAGACCTGCCAAGGAAAGCTTTTTGTGATGCCAGAAGATTCAGCTAGACTACATTTACCATAAAGGAAGACAGTCAGGAATAAGAGCTGCGTTGCACGCTTTGAAGCTGCTTGCTATGTATCTTGTACCGAAACACATGAAAGGGAGATTTGTTTTTTCTTCTAGGACACTCCTTCACCTCTCTGTATAACATCACTTCCTCGTTATTGGATTAGGTGTTAGTATTGTCAGCCATTTTAAATGCATTTGTTTTCCAGTCAGTGTAACACCAGACTGTCTGTATTAGGCTTCAATTAGAAATGAATTTTCAAAACCCATAATGCTAAATGTTCCCTGACTGAAAGGACACTGGATCTGGTATTTTAACTATCTGAAAGATGGGTTTGTAAATAAAGATTCCTCACTTTGAGACAACTGTGTGTGAATCTGGATTTCACCTTGTGTTAGTGAATGGCTTATTCTAAGCATGGATGTTTAATTTTTTTTCTACTGGTGTGGCTGAAATGCTATCTATAGTTCTGTATAACACTGGATAACGAATCTTTGTCAACATGGAAAAAAAGTTAGTTTTGAATTATTAAGTATGATATTATATACAGTACCTGTGTGATATGAACAGTGAACATGACAAACCACATTAGTTGCTCACCTGTATTCACCAAATGTTCCATCATCTTCCTTCATAGGTTGTATTTCTGGATCAGCATGTGCATCCTCCTTTTCCTTCACTAAAATATTTGAAATAGTAATTTTTACCATGAAACTGCAAGATGAGAAACCTTAAGACCTTAATTTCTCAAACTGATCACATCTGGCAGGAACAAGGTTTGAATAAAAATCATTTTTTGAACTAGGGCCTTAGGCTGTTATATTTTTTCTTTTGAAGGAAAAGATCTGTTAATTAGTTATACAATTTTATTTTCATTCAAGTACAAAATACTGTATGTCATTCTGCATTAGTAAAAATTTTTCTTCATTTCTAGCACTAACAAGAAAGTTTTTTTAAAAATCCTACTAAGATACTGTCTTTATGTTATTAATAGAGCTATTGTTTATTGAAATCTGAATAATTTAGTTTTACTTATCCATGCTCCGTATTTCCTCTTGATATTCCTCTCATACCGACTGATAAAACTGAATCAGATTCACTTGTGTTCACTGACAAGTTTGTACACTTTCTGCTTTCATGTCATGCACCAAGACTCCAGGGAATTTTAAACAGTATTTTAAGAATTGTTAATATTGGAAAAAATAGGCATGGTCTGTTAATTTTTTTCTTTTCCATAATGTGATCAAAACAAAAGCAAAACCACCTACACTGGAACCTAAATTTAACACAACTGTGCCTCTTGCACATCCTTGTTATAAGTTTAGTTATCACTGACTTGTGGGAATAAATCCACGCATGTAACTTGTCCCTATAAGAAACCTATGTAGCACTGCATCCTTTGATACAGAAACCCACTTGCACCTGAGAAGACAGATATTTATAGAAGACATATATTCCTTTAAGTTAAGATTGCTGACAGAGTAAAATAATATACTGACTTCTAGAATTATCTTTGTGGTTCTTCCCTTTGTCTTTTCATTTCTGTTTTTCTGGGTACTGCTCAAATCTTTCCCTTGTGTGCATAAAAAAGTTAATACCTTACACATCTAGTAATTCTACAGAAGCAGAGAAAAGAAGGGCATAGCAGGGATCTCCACAAAGTAATGACAACCTTACCATCCAACTGCCTTTTATGCTTTTACTCAAACTGTGTTTTACCCTCCTCTAGACGGTGGCTCACTCCAAGTGTTCCCCACTCTTTTCAGTTTCATCACTTCACTTGTTTCATTCTCCTAATTTTCCGTTTCTCAAATCTCTCCACTAAGAGTCACTTTTCCTATATCCTCTGTAATCTCATTTTCTCTTTTAAAAATCTAAACATTAGGAAAAAACCTAAGATGATGTCTTCAGCCTGTCATTCAACTCTATATAACACTGTGTTCCTTAATCATCTGTCTTTTCTTCATGGGCATAGGCGGTTGGGACAGAAGCTTCTCCTACTTAATTTTTGCCATCACTACAAATCTTTGCTCTCTCCATAAAACAATTAAACAGTTAGATTGGGCAAAATAGGATTCTTGTATTTAATAAGTTGATTTTATCTTCTTATAAAAATAATCTGCTATGCTAAGTTCGGCTATAAAAGATTTGACTATGAAGAGGAAAAGTTTTTAGTGTTCACTGACAGTAGTTTTCAGAAGTGCACTGGTCAAAACAAGCAGGAGAAATTAAAACACGATATGGATTTATTTTTTCTTTTTGTACTTTTGTAAGTGCATCCATCTTTTTCATGTCCAAATTAACAATATGAACTTCCAGAAGTTTGAGCTGACTTTAAATAAGCATTCTAGAGTCTGGATATTTATATAATTTCCAAACCTTTGGAGTCTGTAATATAGAACAGAATTTTTTCACGAAATCAAGATTTTACATGAAACTTAGCAATTGTACTTTCTATTGTAGCTAGGAGAAGAAAAAGAAAAATCAAATTATTCTTTGATGCCCACTTGAAGTTCATTCAGATCCACTCATACCTCAACAGCTGCTCTGAGATCCTAGCAGGCAAAATTATGCAAACTGGTTGTCACTATCCTTTTCAAGAGAGCTTTAATCTATGGACCTACTACATAAACAGAAACGTAACACCAGTGAAAGATATATGTAAGGTACACATATGCACACATACATACATACACACATATATGCCTTTTTTAATATGGACACCCAGAAGAATGAGAGTTTTGATAGAAGACATACATTGTATAGTTCCAATTTTTAACTACAAATAATAAAATATACTTGGCTATTCCTAGGCCTAATACTAAAAACCCCCAAACACCCAAGAAGAAAAACTCTTGTAAAGAAAAAACTTATAGAAGAGAAAACAGCCTAACTGAAGAATAGTAACTTCAAATTTAGCTGCAAACATGCAGAGGCTGAAAACGACACAGATGCTGAGAGGGAGGGTAACTTATCTGAGACAAAATAACATATGAAGGGATTTGTCCTACCAAATGCATTCCCAGTACTTTAAAGTAACACAGTGGCTATGACCTGGTATATGTTTCCACTCCTTCTGACCAAATAAATTGTATCTCAGCTCATTTTAGTGGGTTAAACCCATCCACATTAGACTTCAGAAAGTGGAGTGTGCAGTAATGGCAGGAGGACCAAGTATTTCAAACAAAGCTCAAAGCTCTCTAGAGAGGGAATACAGGAATATGACCCTCCAGGAATGGAGGAGTTACTTTTCTTATGCTTAAATGGATCGACGTTTTCTACCAATAGGCAGATTGCTCCTGAAAAGCCAACCAAACGATAAGACTGATATACCGTCTACACAACGTAAATGTAAGCCAGCAGCAAATGTAATTTCTCCAGTAAACCTGAGACCTGTTTTAATGGATTACCAGTAGATGATTTTTACTCTCATTGTTATGTACCATACCTGGATATTTGCCACCCTTATTCCTCCTTATGAAGCAAACAATCAGTAAAATCAAGATGAGAAGAGCAACAGCACACATAAGACCAATGAACCATCCTTGAGTAGCGATGTCTACCTGCCGACTTGCCATTGCTAGAGAATAAAAGAAAAAGATGAGCTGTTTTGCTGAATTTAAATGCTATGCTAATTCAGACAAATAATAACCAGTATACATTGTTCATTAATTAAGGAGTAACGTTCACTGTGAAAATTAGTATTACGAAAAACAATGATACTGTATGTTGTGAATATTTTCATTATTCAAAATGTTTCCAAGTACATGTGCCTAGAACTTACTTTTGAGTATATAAGAATTCTGCTAACGTTTAAGCTTAGGAACTACTTTGCAAAATCTGTGCACATATTACACTGCTTTCCACAAACCTCAAAACTGTTCTCAACCATTTTATGTTAATTAAACTACTGAAATGAAATTGCAAATTATAATTCACAAGAACATGTCGATTGCTTTCTCAAAATGAATAAAAAGCCAATACTCATTAGCTAATGCACTCCCATCAGTCTGAAATGGGGGAACAGATGGGTCACTCAAGGCCCTAACATTCATTTTCAACTAAAAATCAACAATGAAGCATCCTTTAAAGCCTTATTAAGTATGATGTTTTCTTCCGCTCCTCAAACCCGTACCTCATCCTACAATTTATCATGATTGCCATGATTTAGCATTAGTGAGGACTTAACACAATGCAATTGGGAAGCCTTTCCTCGGCACTGTTTCTCTCCAGATGCTGACTCTAGCTGGAAGATAACGTAGCAAACCACACAGGAAACTCTACAGTCACTAATAAGGACAGGAACTATCTGTGTGGTCTGTGGGCTGGATCCCTCCTACTGGTCTCCGTCACAGTAGGAGGATTCTCCTGGTGAAGCTTATTTTCTAATCCCCTGTTTGGAAATGCACTACAGGCAACTGGCCTTAGGATTTGCTGTTGGGAGAAAGTGGGAAGGGTGAGAGGAGTTAGGGATGCGTGCTACAGGGAGAAGACTACATGAACATCCATCCAGACCTATCTTGTTCATTCTTCACCTTCTCCTCCAGCCCCAAAACCGAAGAGTTTGAAACTCTGTGAAGAGTTGCCCAATACACCTCTCTCTATTTGGGAAACAGAGACGAAGATCACCTTCCCACATGGACAAAGAAAGTGATATGCAAACCACTTCCTATGCATAACTCATACAGTATTTTGGTTCAGCATTTGTTGTTTTTTCTGGCTTCACAAGATAAGGTATCAGATTATTCACAGCCAGTACTTTACCTAGGATTTTAGTAAGGATCAATAATTCTTCAGATCTCAGCTTAGTAGACACTTTGCACCAGCATCAGATCATATTTGAGACCTTCAGTCAGTCTCTTTGTTTGGATGCTGCAAGTACATCAGCTCTCACAGCACAATATGTTTCATCCCTATCTGCTCGGGAAGGTCTGTAGACTTGCTTCCACTGAAGTGGAGGACACAATGCATGAACAGCTTTACACACAGAAACGTGAAAGTCCCAGAGCCCCATAAAAATTTCCACTTCTCCTTAGAGAAGATACGCTTTTAAGAGAAGGCTCATAAAAACACATCACAGACAACCTATTTTCAATGGAGCATTGACTGTTTTCCAGCCACAATTCCCGGTGATACAGCATAAACTCTTCTTACAAACCACGTCGGATGACAACTGGGAACAGTCCTGTGCTGGTGCTGTCCCTTGAACAATACCTGAGCCTTGCTTGGCAGACAGCTAGCTGACAAGAGACTGCACTGCGCTGCCAGGCACACTAACAATAAAATGTAACAATATTCAATTATAGGCCAGAATTCAAGCCCATGTCTCAATGTTATTTACTAGACAGAGGCTGAGACAGGTAGCTTGGAAGCATCAGCTCTGAATGGTCCCAGATTCCTGAGGGTTTTCCATGGACTGTATGAAAACTCAAAGCACCTCTGATGTCTGGAGTCAGTATCTACCCTCCATTCCATACGGAAGACTAATGTGTATTCCACTTTAGAAGTACTAGGCTAAAATTAACTCTTTATTCTGCTGCCTTTTTTTGGTCTTACTGGGCAAAGTTATGACTTGATTTTCATTTAAATAGATCAATGAATTAATGTGCCTGGTTATTGTGGAGTTACGTTTAGGAGATTTCCCAGCCTTTGTTTAAGAATATGCTTTCTGATATTTTAGAAACTGACTCTTTCTTATACGCACAATAATTTAAACTATTTTTGCATAAAAATGTCTACATGTTCTATAACTATGTAGCTTATATACATATATATTTATCCTTTATATACCATATAAATATAAATATGTATAAGTGGCAGTCTTAAAATCACAAAGGCAATCTTCCTCTGAATTATAAATACAATGAAAATAAAATTTTGTTTCCACATTAAGGTTAAAATTATTTTGAGTTTTGCACATATGCATTCATAATAAGGCATTAAAGGTTGTATAATACATACTGTGACAAAATGCAAAAGCACATTTAACATTCAAATGTAGTAAGAAATAGCATCAAGCAAAACAACTCATGCATAAAAATATGCAAGATAGATGGGAAAGATTAAAGATGAAAACTTACTTATGCAGCTTCCTGTATTCTTTAACTTATTGCATATCCAGTAGGAAAGGGTTTCTAGATCTCAGTGCAACTTTAAAAATGGCACAACATTTCCTGCTTTCACTAAGCAAATTATCTGCTTCAGGCAGAAAGACATTTACTCTTGGTGAACTGCTAATGCAGGAGTTAATGCAATACACTGTACTGGTGTGCTCAAAAAGATAAACCTGCACACTATGAAGATGCTCTATAGGAATGCTTGTCAAAGAGAAAAGTGTCACAAAAGGCTCATATATGAAATACTGCAGTTTCATTCCTAATTAAGGCCATATTCCATATTCCAATATTTTCCTCTTTGTCCACTTCATTTTTTTGTGGTGTTTAAAAGCTTTGATCTAGGCTGAAGACAGTGTGACACAACATTTCTCTGTAAGAAATATGCTATGTATATAATTTAATGCTGGGCACTGAACCTTTCCGTTATGAAGAAGCAGAAAAGAGTGTATTTAAATTCACTTCTTCCTTAACTACTCAAGGACATGAGCCGAGGTGACTGGGTATGTACACAATTCCTTATCTACTGGCTCAGTAATTTTTGTGCAGAAAGATGTTTTTAGGAAGGTTTCCATTCAGCTTGTTTTGAATTATACTATAGTCTTGATCCTTGCTTTACTACGGCTTTAGGCTTTGGGTGTATTTATTTGTATAAAATTTTACAGATCTGCTTTTATACCACTAGCTGTCTCTGGCATAAATAACCTCTGCGTTTAGCCCATACTGTTATTCAGCACCATGTTTTCAAAGCTTTCCTGCAACACAAGAAACTGAACAGAAACTGAACAAAACAAAGCAAAAATTATGATTTTAGAAAGTGCTCACTTTCAAACTGGCATATTCATTATTTACTTTGCTGTCTGATAATTATTAAATATTTTTCAAGCATATTTTCATATTTAAACTACTTTCTTAAATCATAACATTCTGGAGTTGGTGGGGCTACTGCTAAATAACCGTGCACTGACCAAAATGCTTGGAATGAGCAGAAGTGGCTAGCAAATACACAACAAATAACAACAGCTGACCAAGAACATGCTGTGATGGCAACGACATATTCAGCATAACATCAAAAAACTTCCAATAAAGCCCTTTCTCCGAATTAAATGAACAAGCATTACTGATTTGCTTATGAAGGAATATGACTGAAAAGTGTACATAAGGATCTTGAACAGCCTTACTGATTCACAGGATATAGTTGTGACATGAAAATCTACATAAAACCACTATATGACAGGAAAAGAAACACTTCCAAGTAGGAATCTCTTAACACTGGTATAAATAGGTTACATGAGACATCAAATTGAATCTGCGCTTCTGATTATGCAAACATTTTAGCTCAGATTTTTTTGTATTAAAACAGATCATATAGAGATTGTTAGCTTTAAAAATATATACTTGGCTCTATTAAAGTACACATTATTTAAATACAGCCATCTAATTATATTAATTAGAAATAAATGAAATAGGTCATCTTCAGTGCACAGCACACAGATGGAATGTGAGCAGTGATTATCTTGCCCCTAATATAAACATCAGATAAGTAGAGTGAATTAAAAGGATGAAAACATTCATAATCTACGTAATAAATGCACTGGCATTATTCAGGAGTTTATAAAATAATTCAATATTGCTCTATAAAAAGAACATGCAAAGATGCTAGCTACATCTCTTAGCTAGAAGCAGTTCAACGTTTCAGCACTTAGTCTACCACAATTCTGACTATGATACAGAATTGGTATGGTGTGCCTCACCTGGACCTGTCTCAAACACATCCTCTGAACTCCTAAAACCAGACAGGCCCTCAGCACCAACCCGGACTTTATATGCTGTTCCTGGTGTTAAACCCTTTAACACAAAGAAGCTTCGAGAACCATTTACAATTTCTTTTTTCCAATCTTCTTTGCCTACGAAAATTTTAGGAAAACAACATAGTGGAATTTTAATTTTCTCTGTATTACTGAAAGTTTCTAGACAGAATACTATCAACAGTTACTTGACTAAACTATGGATTGGGTGAAAAAAATAACTGTTCTCCCAAAGAATAATAAAATCATATACAATTATCACTTCAAATTATATATTGCATGCAATATATTGAAGAAGACATTGTACATTAATTATGAAACTATTTTAAACATTTGTTCCATTGTACTAGAGAAATACTATTTTCATTTATTTTTTTAAAAGGCTTATGGAACTTGCAATTATAAAATACATTAAAATAGATTTTAAGCATTTAATTAAATTACATTTCTGTAGTTTCAGTCAGTATTTACTTTAGTTGAGAAGTTCGACTTCAAAATCTTCTCTCTCATATCTTTTTCTAGTACAGTCTCAGCTGCTTCTTTGACCAATATCCAGAAAAATGCATTTATATTCCAATTTTCAGACTGGTCATCTTTAGTCATAACTTTAGAAGGATAGAGTATTTGAATAGAAATAGCTTGGGTTTATTAGCTAATTGTGTTTTACTTATTACTGGTATTATCAAAGATTAAAACCTGTTTTTATGCCAATAAAAGTATGTAAGTTGGTTGGTATCTTATTTTAAGGTTTAATTTAACAAAAAATATTGTTTTGAGTGGCTCTCTTATTTAATTATTTTTTTCCCCTGAATTGGGCATAATTTAGGAATATTATATCCTATTTTAATGCAAGTAATCATATTTTTACACATGTAATCACTGCATGATAAACAACTTCATGAGAACTACACTTTTATAAGTTCACATTCAAAAGAATTTATAAAATAATACAAAGGAACAAAGGCTGATATTCTATCTAAGCATCAAATACCTGCTACACATTGATGTTGATTAAAATGAAAATTATTTCATCTTCCAGATCAAATTAAAAAATAATCCTTCTAGACATTTAAGAGCTATCATTAACACTCGGTCAATTTAGGACCACATTTACTATAAAAATCTTTGAAAATATATCTGAACACTTTAGGAAAATTTAATGAAACGACTTCTTACTGCCTGCTACACCATATTCAACATAAAAGTTCGCATGATCTGGTCCCTCATACTCCCAACTGATATTGGCATAGGTCTCAGCAGCAGCTGTTGTAACATTTCTGATCCTTGGATAAAGTGGTTGCACTGAATACACAATAGAAAAACAAAGCAGAATACGAAATTGTGACTTCATACATTAAAAAAAATAAATTTTAAGAAGTTACTATGTTAATTTAGACCATATACAGGGTAAGTATAGTACATTTGTCAGTGTTTCCATTACTGGAAATTAGTGACTAAAGTACCGTATTTGGTAACTGAATCTTAGGCAGTCACTATACTATGAAATTGAAAAGTAAAATTTATGTACTCTACTGAGCATGCCCTGTATCACAAAAACTGCCAAATACTTAAAAATACCTAATTGCCAAAAGCCTGGAAAACATTATTTTTCTATTCATCTAGGAGCAAAATGCAGACAGCTGGAAAGTGAGAAATTGTCAAGGTAACGAGAAATGGTAGGAAAGAACGGAGTTACGTAGGTGGTACACACCTCCCTTTACACCACGTGTCACTGAATGGACTGCAAATGCCTCAACTGCAAGCCCTTAAAGGATTTTGTCTCTATTGCATTGATAATGATAAAAAAGGAAGACAATACCCTTATAGAATGTTGGACGGACAGTGTGCATGACTGGGGAGGTTGCAAAAAGGGTTTCTGAATATCCTTCACCATCAGAGATAGTAGGAAAGAAAAAATAAAGAGTAAAAACACTTTGCATCAAAAAGTAACATTTAAATAATACAGTAAAACCTTACCTGTTAAATGAATAACACATGCACACTCTAAGTTCATGCAGGATTCAATTAGTTTTACTTGTTAAAATATGAAACAGCTAAGTGATACACATGTATTTGAAAACAAACTGAAGTATGTGTGTACTGACACCTTTACTTTCACAAAACGTTTCTGAAATCAGCTTCATTAACATTATGGATTCATGGCACCATTAGACATCAGAACATTAGACATCAGATATTGGAAAGCCAATATCGAAATACTCTGGCGTGAAGGACACAAATTGCTGGAATGCAAGAAGCTGTTCCTTTTAAGGTACCGTATCTTACTGCTGACACTGTCGTTAGACAACAGCACTTTTCACAGATATGCGTGATGCCCACATCTATGAGAAGTGGTGCTGCTCTCTTCAGCATCCTGTCATTAGCCACTTCTTTGCTCATACCATAATTCTTTGTTCTCCAATCATACTTGTTACAAATGGGCATATATTCCAGTATTTTTGTTTGCCTAATATTAATGAAAATAGATTTTAATAGTTCTAATAGTATAATAGTGCAGCTACAAAGAGAATCCTCCTCAAAGGCATGAAATTAGTTTTTAATGAAAATGCCTCACTCAGTTTGCCACTGACTTTTCTATCCTGCTAAAAATATCTTTTCTGTTAGAAACAACATCAAAAATACTTCCCAAAGACAGTGAAACATCAGAGGTAAACACCTAGTCTCAGTAAAGACAAATGGCAGAATTCCAATGGCTTCACCTACACCAGGAAATAAAATGGGCAAAAGCCTGTTCTCAAGGCAAGAGGTGCTGCACAGATTTTATCTATGTAGTTAAATTATTTCGTCCTCAAAACAGGATGGCTTTGGCCATATGGCTGACTGGAAGAAGCTCCAAATTAGATTCAAAGAGAAAATGGCTTTGGCATAGTAAAATAAATAAATCTGTATACAAGCCCCTAGCACAGACTAAATAATATGAGTACCATGTCTAGAAAACTACAGTTTCTGAGTCTTTTTAAAAAATACCTAAATTATGCAAATTCCCTCAATTCTCCTGAAAATGTATTCTCATTATTAGAAATTTTCACAAAATCGGACTTTTTATCCCCATACTTGCATTGAATTTTTCTTCTTAACTCTATTCCAGCAGTACTCATTCAACTCTTCAATCTGTATTAAACTAATTACTCCCACATTTACTCCCACTAATTACTCTCCACATGTCTTTGTAGGTAAGTTGTGCTTATATGTTTTATATATCACTTCTTTCACCAAGCAAAAATAATAAGGAATATATTATTTAAATAATAAAGAATATATTTATTTCTTGGCTAAAACCACCTGAACAAAATCAAATAGAAAGCACTAGATTTTAAAAAAGCCATCTAGGTTACTAAGTCAACAACAAAACCCCTAAGAAATACCAAAGCCAGAGCTGTCTATGGGAAATCTAGCATGTAACCATATACACTATGGTAATGCAAGGGGATTAGATTCTGCTTCTCTGTGCCACTTGAAGGTAGCAAGAGGAAAGAATAGCAGGCTCTAAATTTAGAAAGGTGCGGAGTCTGAGATTGCAGACAGGATATATAAACTTCCTTCCTCACCCTCACATAGGAACAGGTGTTTGTTACAATCAGCATCTAAGCATTTGTCCTGTGCCAAGAAAACAACTGGTTTGTGTTCTAAATACAACTTTGTTTTGTTTCATTAAATCGTATAGTCTCAAACCCCTATTTTCCTGGATTTTGCTCTTCCACAAAAGATGTCTAATTAGCAGCACAACTGTATGACTGATATTTGTCACCAATGATAAAGACAGAAGAAATTATTAGCAATAATCTGTTTCAAACTCTTGCACACAGAGGCCACAGAGTTACACCTAACTTCTCCCTCCTCATGCCCGAGGACTTGGTGATGACGGAAACTCTCTCATCTTGTGTGAAAGACTCCAGACAACAGCCAGCTTCTGTACCACTAAGCAAATTTGATAATCACCTCCCTTGTAAAAAGTCCATCCTATCTTGTGTTTTGGGTTTTTTTTTCCCATCTCCAATTTTCAGTTTCTGCTCTAATTAAAGAGTTGTCTGCTAGATTAAAGACCTGGTATCTGGTAAATGTCTTTCTGTTCACATGACTGTATTTAACAATTAAGTTGGCTCTGAAAATTACCTTCGTTCTCTTGGTGTCTTAGTTTCTAAATCTTCTCAAGTGACCAACTTATGCTTAGATTTATCAGATGTACTCTTATCTGATTCTTACCAATAGCTGTTTGTATAGATTTATCCCCGTGTACTATTTGATCAGATTTAAGTTCTGTTTTTTTCCTATTGAATACAATGCACCAAGAAATTTGTTCAATAGCTCATTCATTTTCAAAATCATTATTTTTTGTAATTCTTCCTCTTTTCACTCCTGCTTGATCTAATTTTCCAGCAGGCCTGGAAAGTTTTAGTTAACTTTGTTAAACGTGCCATATTTGCAACATGAATACACACATAAGAAGATAAAAGATGGCTGATGGATCCTGAGCTGATGAAAGCCTAGAATTGAAGTGGTTACAACATTTAAGGCTTGTGTCCAATCTACCCAGACCCTTATCTCCTCAATCAGCACACCTCTAATTATAATTAACCTCTTAGTTCTTCAGTATGTTTCCCAGCACTGTTCACAAATGCAAAATTGTCAGTTGGCAGAAACTCTCAGCGTGTGCAAGCGCCAGTTGGTAAAAAGGGGGACAGAAAGCTTTGTGTCAGGGAGCAAGAGTTTTCAGTAGCGGAGCACTGGGCTCTCCTGATCTGTAACCATGCACGACGCTGTGCAGCACCACTGACAAAAATGTCGCTCTAAAACTGATGGGAATGGATTGTTAATAAATGACAGTTTTTATACAGACCGACTCTTACTAAGCTACCTCCAGTAAATTAAGCTCTTTTATTCACGCTACGATACAATGCAAAATTTAGCTGGCAGTTCTGGGTATGGTTTCATTCCTATAGCGAGATATGGTATAAAAGCATTTGCTGATCGTTGAGAAAGAGGCCTAGGCTCAAAGTAAAATTTTCCTTTCTTTTCAAATTAATTCCAGTGCTTTTTTAGTGGAGTTTTTTGTAGAGTTGCATTTAATCTTCCAGCCTTTCAGGAACACAGTTCCTCCAAATAACACAGTTATACTTGGGCTGCAGATTCAATAGAATTTAATAAGACATGACATAAGATATGAATGGATTTTAACAACAGAATAGGTACTCTCTCTCAAGATTTAGTTCAGCAGAACAATAAATTAAATAATCCCTAAAGTGACTACACTTTAGGAATTTTCATGGGATTCACCTGATCTCCAGGAAAAAAATGGCAGGTAAAGTGACACACACACATTTGAAGATTGGTGTCAAATGGAAAAAAAAAAGGGCAAAGCAACATATCATAGACAATTAGTTCAAATGCATATATAAAGAGAAAAATAAATTCAGAGGACCCTCCCCCCCAAAAAAGACAAGGAAAAGAGCCTGTAAGACACAGAGAAGGGTTTTGATTTTGCTTGCTTTTTAACCTACAACTTTTACAGTATGAAATTCAAGCCTTAGTATAACAGTAGGAATGAATTCCACTTCTGGCAGTGAGAGATGGGCATTAGTCACTTCTAAGATTATTTAGGCCATTGCAAGAGCATTCTTGAAGTGCAAGAAATACAGAAGACAAAGAAGAAACGCAAGAAATCATTTCACTGATAAGCATTTAGCATGGCCTGGATTTTGCATGACATCTATGAAGCAAAAGGTATTAGCAGGAATTTTTGCATTGCAATAATCATAATTTTCTCTAGTCTAGCATGCAAAGCATCATCATTGTTCCCAGTAGACTTAAAAGATGACAAAACAGTAGTTCTGCATAGCAGGCTGTCCTGAAAGAATCACGTAGACATATCAGGGAGAGAGAAGTCCACAGGGAGAGAGTGGCTGAAGGAGCAGTACAAAAATACTGTAATCAGCTTGAAAAGAAAAAGCAGCTTGAACTTGTTAGCAAAAAATATGGAGACATTATGTGAAATGATTCAAAGAGGGAGGGAAGACAGATGGTGGGCAGGGAAAATGATTTAAAGAACAGCACTTTGTATGGAACAAAGAAAATTGAGATGATCCTATCTTCTACGAAGAGATCAGAGATATGAACTCAGCTGAGAATGATTTCTAGCCTATAGTGAAGAGCTACATATTGGAGATTCAGTCAGAAAAAAAAGAATCGTTTCAAACCCAGAGGCTAGACTACTTGTTCTTCTCCCTTGCAACAGAAGTACTTCTGTCAGTAATACTTGAGATGTGAAGTTCACATGAAGAAGGCAGACCAGACTGAGTACCGCATTGACAGGAAGCGCTAACTTCAATTAAAGGTAACTGTGATCTCACAACCTTATTTTAATTGCAGCTCAGGATGGCCAGTTACCAGTGTCTGCGTGCATGCAGACTACAAGAACTTGCTTTCAAATAAAAAAGCTGACTAAATCAAAAAGAAACTGAAAAGTGAAACAATGAGGCTGACATGTCATGCCATGACTCCCTGCACTTCAGCTTAGAACAAACACAGTAACGAGACCCTGTGACTGTTTATTTTAAACGACAACTTTCATTTCTACCACTGGTCAAATCTGTATTCTCTTCCTTCCTCTATAGACCAGTTATTTAAAACTTCTAATGGAAGAAGGTAGAAAAGACTTCACTCCAGGGATCATCTTTTTCAGCTGCTACTATAATTATTTTATATGTCATCAGGTTCTGATCCCCCAATTTTTCTCACACCTCTGTTATCTCATACCTGTCATTAGACGTCAATACATTATGTTTTACATATGCAGTTTTCAGACACATTTAGAATACAGGTTGCCAGGAAGAAAAACAAATTTTTTTTTTTTTGTGGTGCCATAATTTTATCAAATTTAAGTCATTCATAACATCACAGTATTAGAAAGGAAAAAAGATAGTGTCAGTCAAATAGGAGTATCAACTATAACAGGATAGCTTGCCCATCTAGTAAAATAAAGTGTCTCATGATTTATTCATGTGGGCTTGTGAGAGAATGACATGGATCTCCTCTGTTAAGTTTCCCTTAGAGAAGAAAAAACCCTCAATTCTTGTAATTTGCGAAGTTCCCTTGTATTTCTGCTATTTGATGCAATGGCACTGTTTGTCTAAAGAACTTTCTATTAGGATGGTGCCCATATCACAGGGAGACAATAATTTCCTCCTTATATTGCCCCCCATTTGAATAGAGCTTCTAAGTTCTATTCAAGCTAAAGAAAAAAATGATTCCTTTATCTAAATCCCTTAGCCTTCATCTCATATTTCAAGTTTTCATGTAAAATTGTATTTTACCTTATGGGAAAAATGCACAAAACTTGCTTCTCTACTTATTGGTCTAGAACGTACTGGATATCTTTACTTAACACCAGTACAGTCATTATAATCAGACAAACTCAGTTGGGACAAATATTAAAAGTGTCAAGTGCAGCAGTAAGCAGACTGTGGTTACTTTCATTGTTTTTAAAGTAATAAAAGACAATGAAGGGCCCACGGCTGTCTGAAAAGATGGCAAAAGACACATGGTGCCAAGAGACACGGAATGTATTTCAGAACTACAATAAATATGTTGAGACACTAAGATCCTTTGATTTACCATAGCAATGTTTCCCTCTGCACTTTAATACATAGTTATACTCTGAGAAGTGAAATATGTCCCAAGTTGCACAGCTCGCCCACATATAGATGATTTGAATTCCTCCGGGACCTTCTGTCTAATGTTTCTGACTGGCCAAGCTGCAGGTCTTCAGGGGCAGCTAGCCAGTAGAAAACACCATGTACAGAAATTTCAGTGCAATTTAGGCTGGCTGAATCTAGGACCTATTGTCTTCTTAACTTCCGAGATGAATAAGCTCAAATTCAAAGAGAAAGGATAATTACATTTTTTGGTAAGTTCTGCCCTTCAAAATGAAAAACTGAGATGTGTTTGATAGATCACAAAAAGGTTGAGAATATCTAGATTGCACCTTCTCCTTGGTTTGGCTTTGGGTCCACATTAGTAAGAGCCGAATATACGTATAGGCCCTCCTGCACTTAACGGAGGAGTAACAATTCACTGCTGGGTACGGCTTCTTCTTGAGTGGGCTGAGTATGTCTATCTTCCAAATCCACGCACTCATGAGACCAAATAATTTGGCACTTGATCTTGATAATACGATCTTCCTTTTCCTTCCTTATAGTCCCTGATCAGTAGTGAAACAGTTAATCACGTTAATGTAAGTAACCACCGAGAACATTCATCTCAGACCTGCAGCAACTCAGATGTCCTAACAGATGTCATGGCTTTAGTTCCATCCTGTTTGCAGTTCCAAAGTTTTCTTTGCAATTGTAAGAGCTAGATGCTATAGGAATATGTGAAAACTTTGAAACCATAAACGGCATGGAACCAAACGAAGGCATCTGCTTAGTTTTCAGAGAATCTGAGATGACAGCTCTGAAATGTGAACTGCTCCAGCTGATCTTACAAATAAGATGCTTTCTGCTAGCCACGGACTGTGATACAGCTATAATTAGACCTCCGTTTCACACAGAGAATCCACTTTTCCTTGCATGAGTTTTTATAGTCAGCTACAAATAATGAGAACTTAATTTACATTTCTGCTGTTAATGTCCAGGACTACAAGCCAGTTTGACTGTTCAATCTGTGCTGACTTCTCAGCTACAACTAGACTAAAAAACAGTAAGAAAGACTTGTCATTAAAATAAATCCACAACTCCATACGTTTACCAGAAATGCATCTGATATTAGAATAGACTTATATATACATATTAAAATATATATATATTATTTATGCACAAATGTATGCATACATATATGTATATAGTCTGATTTATATCTGAGTGAATGGAGTTCTTTTTTATGGCTATTATCATTCAAAACATCTGTTCATCAAGTGGAAAGAAAATATATGTAAAACAATTTATGTTGTCTCTTCCAAGTTTGTAAAAAACGCTGGGTATTTCATGTACAGATTTTGATTTGGGATGTTTATGGTCTGAGATGTTAATTAGTGATAAAATGACACATACGTATAGACACACCTTTCTGACTTCAAGCTACCTAACAGTCCTCAGGACAATCTTTGCTTCTGACAGTGAAGGTATCAAAATTCATAAAAACTGTGTGCAATGTGAAGAACACCTTGTTTGACAGAAGAACTGCATCACAAAGAACTAAATATTATTGAATTCAAGAATAAGGATGATAATAGGTTCCACTCACTGAAATATCCTCAAGAACTCACTCACAAGATCAGTAAACCTAAGACAGCAGGAAGCCATTTGCCTGTATATCCCATCTGATACTCGAACTGAGAAGTATACAGAGGGTATTGTCAGTCATCTGTCTCCTATGCACAGTTGGCTTGCAAATGAAATAAATGTCATCAAACGGGTAGCATTAATCAGCAGTGAGAACAAGAATGCACCTACTTTTTTAAAACAAAAAATGCACATGGCACAGGCAGTAAAAAAAATCTCCTTTGCAAAAGTGCTGTTTTTTCTACTTCAGCTAATCAGTGTTAGTGCACCTGGATCCTGAATATTTATGACCATGACATACATCTGTTAAATGTTCAGAAATAATTAGACTTTGCTGAAGCAAAGCTAATGAATTCCCCTGGAACTCTGTGGCAAAATAAACAGACGAAAGGTATTAATAAGCATTCTGGATTTCTTAAAAAAAAACAAAACCAAAAACAAAACAACAACAAAACCCCCAAATGTTTTCTTCCAGCACTGATTAATACTTTGTATAGCAATGTGTAGTCCAAGATTTTCTGTCCTTACCACTGCAATTTCCCCATTTGCAACACTGCAAAATCCACACATTAACAAATCATGCAGTTTCATTTTACCTTTGCCTGCACCTACAGCAGGACGGAGAATACCAGCTTTAATGGAGGAAAACAAGAATAGGAACACTATATAATTAGATACAACACCAAAGGGAACATACATATATAACTTCATTACAAACCAGAAAAGCATGCAAACTAGATAAAATGTATTAATTCAAATAAATTAGAAACAATCCACTTATGCTGAACACTGACAGACTATTACAAGACAAAAATTAATATACATGCATTTACAAAATTTTATTGCTCATGCTTGTTAAGATTCACGATTTAAAATAAATGTAGTTCATATGCAACCTTAATAATACACTATTTGTTATTACACTTAATACACTATGCATTCCATACCAACTCATCTACGGCAATTCCAATGAAATATATTTTTACTAAGCATAAAAATATGTGAAAAGATGGTATCAAAATAGACTTTTAATATTAAGATGTGCAAAATCATAAAAGACTTTCCCCCCAAATTTCCCCTTTGCTTTAAATTACTCTTATTTTATTAAGCTTTCATATTTAAATAAATAACATCTTCAACAAAAGAACTGCCAAAATCAGAGATCTAGAATGGCTATAAATGTAAAAAGTAATAGTGTCAGGATTGAACAATATACTTAAGAGTTTTTAAATATTATACAATGTCACCAGTTATTTGGGGCCATAGATGACAAATTTATTTCTGCAGCTTTTTTGAAGTTACAGTTCTGTCAGCTCTGTAAAAAAAGTTCAGATCTCACAGAAGCTGTTGCATACTTCTAAAGAGAAATAATTTGCTCTAGCCATAAACCTCCATCATTTCAGTATTGCTCTCTGTGACCACAGCTGGTCAAGGAAGCAGAATATGTGAATGGAGGAAGACCACTTAAAATGTAAAGTTACATAAAACTTTGAAGCCCAGAAAAGCCAAAGTCTTAGAACTTTTAAGTTTATATCAAAAGGAGGGGCTTTACACCTCTTTTGGGGCTTCCACTACAGCAGAAAACCTGTGTGTATCTTCTCTTAGAAACTATTTAAAAATCTTTTACTAGTGTATAATACAGTTAAGAAAGCTCTAGAAAAAATTTTACTAGGGCCTATTTCCTTAATGGAAAGGAAGTAGTAGCAATATTTTCAATAAAATTTGTAGCGTTTTTTAAACTCAATGGGTTTTCTTTATACATACCCATCTTACCTTCATCCATAATTGTTACTGCTTCCTCAGTTATCTGACTTCCTGATCCAACTGAAGTTTGTGCGTTAAAGTAAAACTTGTACCGTGTGCTGTAATTTAAATTTTTTAATATCAAGCTGCTCTCGTTGGCAGGAATTCTTATCTCTACCAAGGGACCCAATTCGTGTGTGTTGTTAACTGTTGTTACAAGAAAAAAAAAAAAAAAAAAAAGAGTTAGGAAAATTGCCTACATTATCATTGTGTTAAAACAGGCTTTTTTTGTTTGTATTTATTTGTTTTGTTTGTCTGCTGCACTGTTCATTTCAGGTTATATGAACAATAATCTGTAGCTTCAAAAGAAAGTCAACTTTGTGTAAAAAGGATCTATCAGGGGCCAAAATTCAACAGGGAGATAGGAAACACCTACAAGTTTTTTAAGTTCAAGTTCCATTCTCATAAGTATCTGAATCCAAGGCAACTGAGTCCACATCACATCATCTGAACTTACACCCATTTGAAACACTGATCATTAAAAAATCCTGAAAGATTAAACTAGCTGCCTCCTAATAAATTCAGTATGCTTAGGAGAAAAAATACTGAAGTGACTTGTACCTAATGCAAAGGAACAGGGGAAACTGGTAAGTGGAAGAAAACAAACTTCCTTAATCTATTCCATGCACACAAAACTCTTAAATTTCCAGTGTCACTGCTGACAGATTTCTGGGCAAGTAAGCAGTGGCATGGGGATCCTAAGGAAGTGATTCATAGCTCTGATATGAGTAAATGGCACATTTATGAATTTTTCATTTTAAAATTAAAATACCATGAAAATTGAAGAAGCCCACAACAGTATAATTGTATGTATTTTGATCTACTTCTAATGATATTTTCTCTGCAGTTAAAATATAGGATTTGTAAGTAGTAGTATCTTGCTTCTAACTTGGCTGTCAATTCTATGTAGGACTTCTCCATTTTTCTGTGAAGCGTGGTTTGAAGAAATAGAAGTAATGGAACCTGGCACTTGACCAAGTGAAGTTTTCCAAATAGTCATCTCTATTGTCAAAATACATTAATTTTATTCAAACTTGACATCTACTATGCTATCCTATCTTTTGTACGTTATAAATTTAACATTTTTTCTTAATAAATGGATTGTTATTTGGTAGACATATTGTCTAAGTTAGAGTTATATATTCATAATTAACTTACTTGGCTGAAACTTCAGTATATATGATGTCAAAACACCATTTGGATGGGTAGGTGAACCCCACTCCAGAGTCAGAGAGTCCAATGTTGGGTTAGTAATCTTCAAAAAGGAGGGTGAGCTAGGAACTTTTAAGAAGAATATACAGTAAATACAAAGTAGATTAACTTAAAACAACTCATGAATTACTAATTCTTAAGAATATTACTGTATTGAGCCAGATTATTATTTTATCATGTCCAAGATGCAAATTCAGCAATTACACCCTTAGTGTTCTATTTCTGAATATACCACATTTAAGTCTCACTTCATACCTCCTTCAGGGGTCTTAAATACTTTGTCTGGGCTTGCTGGTCCTTCTCCTTTACCATTAACAACTCTAACATTCAGCTTGTAAGAACTAAAGGGCTCCAGCCCTGGCAACATTCCAAAAGTCTTGTTTCCCCTGAAAGTCAAGATCTTTTTTTCTACATGCCGCCTACTCCTTCTGGATAGACTCTGCACTTTCCAGTAGTAAACCTAAAGACAAAAGAACAGTGAGTGTTTAGGTCTTCTGATTTTACAAACTCTAAGCTTTTCCATGAGTATCCATGAATTAAAGGTAGGAATAATTGCAATTTTAATAAGCTCAGGTGAGATAGAGCATAGAGCTGTCCTGCTCCAGAAACAGTTTGTCCAGAAACAGTCATGCCTGCACAACTGGGTGAAGACTATCACCTGCCAGTTCTGCTAATGTTCAAAGCCAGTTCAGCACAAGTTCTGGTTTGGAACTGCATTAGTTATGTGGTCGTTCTCATGTTAGCAAGTCCATCTGAGAGGCAGGACTCATTCATACCATCCATTCTTTCAGTGAGATGTCTACACAGCTTCCAAAGCAGACTTGCACTTTGCCACCTTGTTGTGTCACACACCTGACCATGCTATTCCCTGTGATGTGGAAACCAAAATTTGTCTGGGCTGGAAAAACAAGTTCTGAAAGGATTCTAAGGTTACAGTCATGGAATGATCTCCACCCAGGGACAGGAAGACTATTCCTCCATTTATGTGACAAACAGATCAGACCACAAAGCTGATTTTGGTTATCTATTTTGCCGACTGAGTTTCTAAGAAACTACAGATAAGCCTCAGAGGTAATTACCTTGACTGCACTCCATTTACTAGTCTCTCTATCATGGTATCTGGAAAGATATTAACAGTTGCCCCTACAAAGACTTGTATCACTCCTAGGATTGTTACCTTCCAATACATCATTGTTCATTTTTCACAGTGTAATTTTCACACATGTATGATCACACACTAAAACTGATAAAACAATTTAAGTGGGTAAAATTCTGGTTGCATTTAGGCCAACTGCAAAACACCTCTTTAATTAAGGAAGTTGGGATCTCACACATGAATTCAAAAAAGGGAACTGTTAAGGCTTACAAAGCCCAACTAGATAGCTTATAAGGCAATGTTACACGAACACCAGCTTTCTATTGCTAACAACATACCATTTCACTCTAATCACTGTTAAATACCACCGTGTTTTACATGGCTTGAGTTAATGATTTTCAACACTGCCAGCTGTCACCCTGTAGCTCTCATCCTACCAACTAGCAAGAAAGCCATTTACAAGCTAACAAAAGCTTGACATGTTGGTACTTCTAGTATTGAAACTCAAGGTATAGTTCATGATATTTTAAAATAATGTTAGCCAGTAACATTTCACAAAGCACGTTATTATAGTTGAGTCATCATGTGTCACTAGCCAGGCTGAAATTAAAAGACAGCTTTAATAAGCTGGGTTTGATAATCAGTGATTTGGAAGAGGAATATGACAGCAAAAGAGACCGCATCACATTTTTCACATATTGTATTGAATAACCACTGAATTCATAAGAATAACAGGAAAAAATGGCAGCAGTAACAGTGAAAAGAATTATTTTAAAAATTTCTTCTTAGGTTTGAAATGCTTTATAGTACCACAGTATATCGAGTAATAGCTGAATTAATACAAGAGCAAAATATGAGTGATGTGCTGTGGACTGCTGCTAGTTAGAGATCTTCCTGCTTTCTTCACCCATTTGTCCTCATGGCGTGACTCTTTAGAGAAATACCCCTCTCTTTATTAAGAAATGTGTCCCTAATGAAACACTGCATATTGGGCTACTGTCTGAAATAATTTTATGAACTAGGAAAGCCTGAGTTTGCTAGTAAGATTTTGCTGATGTGTTTAAAAAGAGATAGTCATGTGCTTTGTAAGCTATGTCAATAACTAAGACACTTAAAGCATACTCTGCATCCATGAAAAGTTTTTAGCCTGTATTCAGAGAAAGCTTTATAACAGTAACTATCCACCAGGTCTTAGGACCTGTCATGCTTTGTCTAGTTTTTAACATATTTTAGCTTGATTTAGCTGTATCTGCAAAAATTATATAAGAAACTTTTGCTGCATATGCAACTTATACCATTGTCACATTTGTCCTAGCCATAACAGCAAAAACTACTCAGTGGTCAGGTCTGTTGTCAAACCTGTGGTCTTGAGCTTGTTTTATTTATGATTACTGACAAACTTATTTTAGTTTCAGTTTTGCTTAGCTTTGTGTAATTGTGTGGTTCTCCTCCCCACAGAAAAAAAAGTCATACTGTATACAGAGAAAGACTAACACACTGAACAGAAGTAATCATGGCATGACTAATCCCTTAGACCAACTGGAGAGGAAAGTGTGCAACCCGTTAGGAAATACAGGACAGAAAATAACCCTCAGAGACTCCAAGTCTGAGGAACAAGAAATCTCCATCTAAACTTGAGACGATGACAACTCAGTGTGACCATTCCTTTGAAGGGTGAGAAGTTAACACCCAGTGTATGGGCAGACATTTGTCTATGGAATTTTTTTGTATTATTAATGACCTTTAACAGAAATTTGGTGATTTGGATTATGAGGATTAGTGTTGCTGTAACTCCATTAATAATAAGCATTAACTTCACTAAATTCTAACTCTTCAATCCTCACATAATGGACATTTACATTTGGTTGCCCATTTGTGTGTGAAATACCGGGTTGATATTAGACTGTCATCTGACAGATAAACATTTAACAGACTAATAAGTCCTGTTTCTCAGCTGAATTTAGTATCTAGGGCAGAGCACCACACTAACTACAAATACTTACACTAGCTCATACAAAACTAGCTTAAGTCTCTCTGGATGGTGGCATTTTGTGCCAGGTATACCAGGACCTCACATTCATGTGGTAACCAGCTGTAACGCAATGAAGTTCACTTTCAATGCTCTTGAATACTAGTCCTCCATTTTATAAGTATGATGCACATTTATTCTCCTCCAAATATTCTTTACTCTTTTCATTTTTAAAATATTTCTTTTTCGTCTTTCATTTAAACAGAAATTGTTCAAATTAGTCTGTCTTACAAAGTAACCTAGTTTGGGCTGTGTAACCAGTCTGTTTTGTTAGAACATATTTATTAGTATATTTGCAGAGGAGCAAAGAAGTAATTATTTTTTATTTTCTTCTGCCGTTTCATAGGAAGTCAGTATACCCTCTCATTCCACTCCTCCCTCCACAACCAGTCTACCATGCTTCTGCAGTTTTTGCACTCCTGAGTTTCTTCTGATGGGCTTCTAGTGCAACCTCTGAAGCAACTGTTGTCATCAGATTTTCCCTGTCCTCCAGGGACACCAGTTCCCCCAGTTTCTAACCCTGAAGTCCTTCTGTCTCCCACTCCCTATTAACTGCAGTCTTCTGTCTCCAACACAGCCTTCTCAGTTATCATCAAGACCAGCATACTATCTTACACTAAGCTTCCTTAGTTATATGTACACTCCAAACCTTCTGCCATTTCCTATCTCCTTAAATAGAGCTTTTAAACTGAGCTTTTTGCTGGCCTCCAAAAAGACACAGTACCCAGCATAAGCTAGCAAGTGGCCAGTTACTCAGAATTAAAGATGTGATTAATTATATTATGGCAGAAGATTAATAATCTTAGCATTAGACCTAGAAGAGACTCCTACAGAAACTATTTCTCCTCATCCTCTAAATATCCTTTTGGAATAAGATCTGTAAAACTATTACAATTTTTTTAATCTGTATAATGTGTGCAAACTTAATTGCAGACACATCCCATCTTTCTTCAAGGACAATGTCACAGGAGACTACAAGGTGCTACAAGGCTGGAATGTTGCTGAACTTTAAATGAATTGTATCAATGCTATTGATCTTGTCAGCAAAACTTGTGAGCTCACTGAAAAGCAAGAGTCCTCTTATATGTCCGTTACTTCAGTCTGGATACAATCTCATATAGGAAGCGTGATCTGTTTTAATAAATGAGAAACAGAATGCTTTTGACTGTACTTACTTTGTACCCTTGAAGGTGTCCTCGGACAGATTTTAGTGGAACTGGGTCCCAATGCACCTTTGCTAATGTGCTGTTAATAACATGAACCTGCACATTGCCTGGAGCAACCATTGGCACTGTGTGGAAAGGATGCAACAAGTATCTAGTTAGAATAAGAAACCACACAAACATACTTTTTCAGAACGAGTCTTTGCATTGCACTCAAATAGTAGGTTAAAATGTTCCTATGTTAAAAAGCTGACCTCAGGATTAATACTACAGAGTGTTATGAAGCCTTATTATCTCCAAATTCCTTAATTTTAATTAAAAAAATAACTACTATCCCCCTTTTTCAATATTTTAGTATTGTAAATACCCATTTAGGTTACACATTTAATTGCTTTTTATTAGTACAATTGAGTCAAACTACAAAACTTACAGTCTTCCCCTGAATGTCCAATCACCTCTGATGGCTCTGGTGCATATCCCAGGTCATTTAAAGCTTGTACTTTTATTTCATAGGGAACAAAAGTTGGTGTACCAGACACAATATATTTAGATACATTTGCAACTATAACAGATGTCCATTCATCGTCAACATCCTTCTGACGCCAGCTGACCTTGTACTGAAGCCCTGGTCCGTTAGACTGAAAACCTTTTAAAGACTGAAATTAAAATAAATTTTTTAGAATATTTTGAAGCATCCAAAAAATCCAATGTAAAAAAAGGAAATATATCTATTCTTTTTTAGAATTTTACTGAAAATTTACCACTGTGTTCTGTGACAGAGAAGCACTGCTGAAATTCCCAAGCTATGCAATTTAGCGTTTACAGGAGGTCAGTTCAGTTCAGTTGCTTTTCATTCATTAGTAAAAAAACACATGGAATGGTGATCCGGGCTAATTCTCATGCAACCATGCATTGTGATTTCTGTATACATATTTTGTTTTCAAATATTTCTTAAGAAGTGGAAGAGGGAAAGACTTACACGAACTCCCTATATACAGTGTTCACTAGATAATATTTCTTGTCTGGAATGGGAAATTGGTTTTACATTGCTCTCCTTGAGCTCCTGTCATGATGATAAGGGCATGATAGAGAAAACTTTTCCACAAAAGTTTCTTAGTGGGAGAGTGCACAATAATTTGGTTTGTCACAAAAGTTGAGGGTATAATTAGGATTCACATTAGAATTCATTCTAAAAATAAGAGTCTACTTGAGATAAACCTCAATTTACATATTTAAGTTTTCTTAAATTGGAAGCAAAACATCCTGTGTTACCATATTAATGGCTTATCTTGAGTAATCACTCAAGGAAAATATGGCACCTCAAAATTTTTTTTTTTTCATAATGCATGCAGATCTTCCCTGAAAATGAAGATGGGGAAATGTCGGGATTTTACCTTTTTTCAGGAATGTTTTAAGCAAGCAACACATCGGGTATTCTCATAGTGTGTTCACAGATAGATCATTATTATTTCTCAAAAAAACCCGCTACTCACCTGAAAACAAACAAATGAAATCTCCAAAAAGCAAACTTACCTCCCATGTTATTACCAAATTATCAGGTTCTGAGCCTATCCCTTGTACATTAGAAGGATTTTCATCAGGGTCTAAAAATAAAATATTTACACGTGAACAAGAATGACTGCTGTTTGCATTCCAAGCAAATTCAACACCATTCATAATATAAATCAATCACTGGTAAGCAGAAATAGTTATTTACTTGCAGATTTTGTCAGGTACTGCTCAGATGGTTCACTGGGCTGACTTCTGCCAATCTCATTGACAGCTATCACACGGAATGAGTAGTTGACGTACGGAGACAACTTCAACTGTACTGTTGTCTGAGTTCCAGGAACTTCCGTCTGGTAATGCCATACCCCTGGTTCATGCAGCCCATCTTCATATTCAATCACAAAGTCTGTAAACAGAAATTGAATCCAACTTTATGTCAAAACTTGCAACACCTTCCTAGATCAGTGTAGGCATTTCTGAATGAGCTAATCAGAAGGGATTGATCCAATCAACGTTTTTAAAAATCATGGATATTGAAATGTAAGTACATAAACCAGAACACAGATCTATAATGTGGATCTCAAAAGCACTGCCTAGGTAGAAATATAATAGAAACGCTCTTACTTTTATTATTTGGTATTCTCACTAATGCAGCTACCTGTCAGGTAATTACAGGTTATTACACGAGCTTGCTCTCAGGTACCGGATTTTAATGTAACAGGAACCCTTGAACTATCACAGCAAGAAAGTGAGACAAGATTGGAATTCCGATGTGAAAGTAGTATTTGGCTGACAAATATATTGGTCTTAGTTGTATCAAGCTGACAGTAAGTAGTACCTGTACAATACTAAAACTCTCTTGGGTATTCCATTTTCCCCAATGAGACTGGCTTAGTGAAGAACTATTTAAAGTTAAGAACCAATACTTGAGAAAGTTTTTCAAGAGCACTTTTCAGTATCTTCAAATTAAGTCAAGGAACATATGTTCAGAAGCTAAATTTCCTGAGAGTTCTCTGTGTGAACATTACGATGATTACTGTTAAGAACCTACAGAGTATATAACCTCAGGGATACATAGGTTTGTAGAACTCTAAAAAGAAAACCACATTCATTATCAAAGACAAAAGGACATCTTTTTTCAGCTGTGATACAGCCAAAAAAGCTTCCTGCTCTTAGGTATGAGATACAAATTTTGAAACACTTAAGAGGAATTCTTAGGATACAGTAAGTGAATGGGAGAAGAATGCGTAGTCTGAGTACATTCCATGGAACCTTAAGTTTAGATATACAAAATTTACATGAGCATCAAATGTTTGTGCGTTGTGTAACAAAAATCTTCCCTTATCTCATGTATAGGTGGGGACAAGAAGCCAGAATATGACTCAGAATACATCCTGTTTGCACTACTAAAGAAATTCTGAGGGACATCTAGAAATTGCTTTTAGAATACTTACAGTACCACATAGAAATAATGCACAACAGTTTGAGGAGCCAAGATGTTCAAGAAGTAAAATAGATAAGTAGTACTAATCATAGCCTTCTGGACTTAAGGCTTGCAGATTTCATCCTGACCTGAGCAGTAAGAAAGAGAGAGAACTAGCCCCAAATTACTGCCCGAGTTATAGCTGGTGTTGTGTGCTCAGAGGTAAAGGTCTTGGGATGGGATGTTTTCTGGACCAAAGTCTTTGCTGAAAAGGTGAGAATATTACATACTAAAAACAAAAAAAAAGCACCCACAGAAGTTTTCACTACTGCTTTTTGCTTCCCTAGTAACTAGCATTCTGCTTGCAACTCTAGTAGAACAATTTATAGGAGGCTTCAAGGAAAAAATCCTGTTTGAGCTTTCAGAGAGATTCTAGCATGTCAATCGTATTACATGGGTAAAGGGATCACACATAATGAAGTGCTATCCTTGAGTGTTGATCTACACTTTGAAGTGATAGCAGCAGCAATAATAGGCTTACTTATGAAGCAAATGCCTTATTTTGCAGGCTCTCAAGGGACCACACAGCAATATAAATTGTATCATAATTAAAACCAGCATTATTTAGTCAGAAGAGTTCAATTTCCAGTATCAGACTGCATGCAATATCTCGCTTCTACAAAAACTCTGACATGAGCCAACACCACCTAGTATCATCTTTTTTGAAACTGTGATCTCATTCCTATAGAAAGGCAAGACTTGTGTCTTCTGGTCTGGAAAAAAATGAAAATACTGATACAAGAGTATATGAATAAGCCATAACGTAAATACAATTCAACTATTTACATTAAACTTCTATATATTCTATTTTAAAAAGTATATTACTAATTGATAGATATTAGACAAGTCTGAAAGTGTAAAACTTTAGCAAAATCCCTTGGTGTTTCATTAAAATGCAATCAAAATCTTTGATGTGTTCTGAAATTTGTGAAATTCTGTTTTTACAAAACTTCCTTTACAGATGCTTGATCCTTATGGTTTGTGTTCGGTGTTGATACCATCTAGCATCAGACCCTGGAAAGCAACACTCGATAAGTCAGCCCAACTCATTCATTCCAAATATAACATGTACACTGGTCTTGGTAACTTGTAGCAGTTATTAACTAAAAATACACAGCATAAATAATTAAGTAATTACATTAAATTGCTCATAATGAAAAAGTTGCCCAAACAAATCTTTCTGATCCTATTATTTTTTGGAAAACAAACAGTAACATCCTTCTTCCTTCCTCTTAAATTCCCCCTCCATCCTCTCTGCTTGATATAAGCAAGAGTATCTTTCATCATGTTCTGCTGGGAGGAATAAGAGCATTTAAGATCAATTTCCTGTCTCAGAAGTCTATAGATGTTTATTTTCTCTGTCTTATGGACATGCTTTATTTCCTCAACTGTCTGGACTAGAAAAAAAAAAAAATCTGCATTATATTTTCATTAAGAATAAGCTTCTGTTATCAGTAGTGATGGATAATCCTTAAAGATATTGGTATTGATGCTATCTCAAATTCATGGGAATTACAAAAGAGTTAATGCAAGATGTTAGTAGCTCTCTCCTTCAGAAGCATACAAGTCTAGTCTCTACATATTCATAAGACTGGACCTTGTGAGACAGAGCTCCTATCAGTATCAACTTCTACATTAACTAGCACAGGTTTTTGGATCAAAAGCCCAGCTTTTTAGGGCAGTAAATAAGACTTTGTGCTTGGCTGTACAGTAGAGGACATTCAGTGAATTTTTGTTATGTAAATAAATGGCAACCATAGAGAATAAATTTACCATTCTTACATGCTGCACAGAAAATTTATCTCAGAAGTCTCTGGAATCTGAGAACAGTTAACGTAATGCTGTTAACGTAATGCAATAGATACAAACAAACATACTTGTAATGGGACTGTTATTTTCATCTCCTGGTATCCATGAGAGTTCAACACTTCTTTCTAGCTGACCTGTCAATTCCAAGTCAAAGGGTGGATTTGGCCGAGCTGTAAATCAAATGAACACAAAGTAAATAATCTCACCAGAATAAGTAGTTTCATCTTTGAAAAAATCCTTACAGTCCAATCAAAAGAATTCCACAAATACAGCAGGGCAGATCTACTCACTTATGTAAGCATGACTTAATAACCATTAGCATGCAATTGTTACAAAACAGAGATAAAATGGAGAACTGATGTATCTGGAAACTTCTGTACATTAACAAGAATCCAAATTTGATTTTATCTACATCCGATTGCACGGTGATATAAAAATGTAATGAGATGCAACAAATTATGAAATGCATGTTTAGTTCATCTTTGAATGATTATGGGTGGTTATCTATTGTAACTAGAAATATTTAATAAAACATGGAAAATAAAGAAGCATTCACATCAAAGAAACTTTTCTAGAATCACTACAAATATTTTGCATGTGAATCCAAAACAAGTATAGTTCAAATAGAAACTAATTGCAAGTTACTAAGTAATTTATTTTTTGCTGTACTTTTAAAAAATCCTGAAATACCATGCAAGTTGTTAATACACATCCTTATAATGCATAAAGATGGAACTGTCCATTCCAAATTGCTGAAAATAATTCATTATATGATTTATTACACAAAAATCAAGACTAATGAGCAGGTTCATTTAAGAATACATAAGCATTTTCACTGAAAGTGATAAGATTTACATAAAAGTGCTTAAGACGCTTATACTTAAAAGTGGTTTAGGCATATTATATTGCATTTTAAACCCCAAATTCAGACAAAATTCTATCAAATTAAAGGCTGTATACTGTCATACTTAAGCCTGTACCTGACTGACAGATTTTTGGGGAAATTTCAGATTTAATTTTAAAATCCTTATTAAAAATTTCATCAATCATAAACCAAACTGGTCAATATGGTCCTGTCCATTTTATGAGTGAAGTAAAAAGAAGAGGAACTATGAAATAAAGTACACCAGGCCTACAAAGCTGTCATCACAAGCAATGTACAAACATACCATAATTTGGTTGGTGCAAGTTCTTTGATAGTGAATTAGCTTTCAATGAACAATTGGATTTACCTTTTTGATCTTTCATTTATTATATAACTAATTTGCATTACAGTGTACTGTATGAGAAAAACATTATCACACTGTAACCAAACTTAATTATAATAATTTATCTCTGAAAATCATTTATTCCCTAAAATACAAAGCAGCCTGCACTGTAAAATTCCAAAGTCCAGTACTCCAGTAATGAAGCAGTTGGTAAAATGGGATGAAACCACACACACACGCACACGCACGCACACACACACAAACACAGGAAAAAGGGAAAAAAAGAAAAGATGTTGTACTTCGCAATAGGCAAATGAGAAATATATCTGGCAGATGAGGTAGAAAGAGAACTTCATATTAGTTTACCGTAAATGATAGCTGGAGTTGGGGGAGCAGCTGCAAAGAACATTAATATAAAGGATTTAATCAGTTAGTAGCCAAAGAAACAGAATACTGTAGGTAGTTAAAGACTATAATTATTAGAGCCAAAGAAAAGTTAACTTTATTTAGAGTAAATGGCTGATTTTAAATAACACATTGATAATTTTTCACTGAAAAGTTATAAAAGTATTCTTGAATATTTTATCCATTTTTAAAATAAGGATAGATCAAGAAAATAAAGTAAGCAATCTTATAAAAACTTTTAAATAAGTACTAGACATTTGGTGTATGTCATTCCTGGATAGGCATAAGATTACAACACAATTTTAAAACACAAGCATACTTGACTTTGCATCTCAGCTTGAACTCGGGTAAGAATCATTTAGGACATCTACTTAAAACTTTATTACAAATTGGGAGAAGGGGCAAAGTAATATATTTTACAACAATCTGCAATCATTGAAACTTCACAGAGAGAACTAATTTAAAAAGAAAATCCTTGAAAAGTCATACAACTAAGCATGCTCAGTCTTTCTGAAGCATAATTTAGTTGCAAAAGAGATTCCTGAAATAACATGTTTATGTTCAAATACTCTGCAATATGTAGTCTACTGTGTTAGCTCAGATGTGATCCAAATAAAAACCTATACAGCATGAAACTGAATGTGTCCTGTAGCTACTGGACCCTTTTGTAAGTAGCTGATTCAAAGGCAAACCTTAGGGTAAGACTCTATTTTTAAAGAACTGAAACACATTTACAGGTAGGTGACGTTTCCTTTGTCCTGTCCTAGAAACCAAAACTATGTTTGTGCTTTTCATTTGAAATCTAATACTGGTTTCATACTTAACAGTAGTTAAACACAGTTCTGCTATCATAAAGTTGAGAGTATTCTTACCAACAACAGTAAGCACAGCACTTGCTGAAACACTGTCCAGAGTAGTATTAACTATGCAAGTGTATGTTCCATCATCTTTATCAGTTACATTCATAATGGTCAAGTTGTCTTTACCAACTAGAAACCTGTAAATACAATAGATTCAGCCACTGATTTTTCATTAACTGGTACTGTTATAAGAAACTTGTAATAAGACATTACCAAATCCCATATACTTGTGTATTTCAGCAAACACCTAGACAGCAATGTAAGCTATGGGACTATGACAGCCTTTTCTACATTGCTCTTGACCATCTCCCCAAAGTAATTGTCTATCCTAATGTGCTTTTATTTCCAAATATACTCAAACAACTTTTAATTATCTGTGATCTAGAGGAAAATGGTCTTCCATTATCCATTTGGCTTCTTATGCCAGTTATCTTCTCCTTACAATTGATAAACATGGTAATTGTGCACCATTAAAAATTTTTACATCTCATGTTATTTTGAATTCCATCTTAATTTTTTCACCACACTAGGTAAGCCCTTTAGTCACCAAATATGGGATAGTGGTGAAATTTATCAGTCTTCATTGGAAAATGTCAATAGGTCAATATGTTCCTTTCAAAAATTAGGAAAAGGAGCAGAAAAAAGAAACTAGAAAATTAAAAATAAAGGAAAATTATTTTGTCCATACCTTTCATCATCTGGCAGTTCATCATTGTCCTTCAACCATATAACAGTTGGTAATAAGGTAAAATCATGTTTTATTATACACTCAAATGAAACTTGGCCATATCTCTGAATCACTTTGTATTCTGGCTGTTTAATTATCATTGTTGGATCTGAAATTTAAAATGACTATTAGATGTTCAGAAAGTCTGAAATTCTATAATAACCTGTGATGAAAGAATGATTCGTTTCTTACCTTTAACTTCCAATCGCACCTCATTTTGTATCTTTCCTAATTCATTCCTTGCTACACATGTGTATGTACCAGTACTATCCTTTTGAGCCACCGGAATTTCCAAGGTTCCATTATCATGGAAAACATATTCATCTCCACGCAAGATGCTACCTTTCACTCCCTTAAACCTTTACATAAAAAGTCATATTATTACCCAACATCATAGTTAAATTATGTTGTATTTTATCATCAGAAAATGCAAACTTGGGACTGCCACATTAGAAAATACAGACAGAATCACATAATGAAATTTAAAATTGACTCTGTAGGGATAACTTAACTGTTGTTAAGTATATGTAATGCTGTATTAGCATATCATAATCAGCATTATTTAAAAATACGCTATCTTTAAATTGTAAATAGAGTAAAAAATAGTTTTAAAGCTTTAAATGTTTGCTTCCATAGATATAACTGGTTCCTTTTACATAACTTAAACACAACATATATAGCTTACCATTCAATTTCAGGCTTAGGTGAACCAAAATAAGCACAGTCTAGCAATGCAGGACTATCTGCGATGACTTGATACAGTTTATTAGCAGGAGTTAGAATTCTTGGTGGCTCAGCTGAAAAGACAAAGATATCTGGATATAGATACAAAGATGCAACTACAAAATACTAAGACATCAAGAATGGCCTAAAGAACTGTATGTTAACATCCTTCTCTGAAGTGATTTCTGGTCTCAGTCTAGGCCCAAATACATTCTACTGCTGGTAGCCTGAGGAAATGTTAATGTAGGATAATTATCTTGTGAAAAACAAATGCTTCTTCCCTGTTTACAAGTAATAGGGATGGGCACCAAAGGCAATGATCTCAATTGGAAAATTTAAATCATAATATACTTCAAGAGAAAATCTTGGGAACAGACTCAACTACGTAATTCCAAACAAACCTGCAGGCAAAAAGAAGCTAAGATGTATTTTTGGTGAAACACCTATATTTTCTTTCATTTAAAAGACAGTGTCTCTCAATCAAAAGATCTGCCAGTTCCTGCAGGAAAGTCTTTCAAAGACATTCTGCCTAGGATTTCACTACTAGCTTTGTTAAATTCAGTGAGAAAAATTATAGAGGCCACAATGCCTTCTAAGCAGAAACACGTTCTTGGGAGGCCTTCAGGACAAATGCATAATCAGGTCCCCTTGCAACAGCAATTTAGAGATCATGTATCTAACTGATCCAAAACATCCTCAAACAATGAAAGTGTACTGAAACATACTAACTTCAGGAATATTAATTCCTACCTTATTTGTTATGCTTCCATTTGCTTGATTTGCATAAACAAACAAACAAAAGTGATAAAATTTCTTCCAAGTTTTCTCCAGCTTTTACAACTGTCCTTCTTACTCAGGAATAGTGAAAATGAAATTCAGGAATATCCTACAAAAACCAAAGTATGTTTTTTGTATCCTACAAAAAGCCTTGCTTTTTCCAGGGCTCAGGAAATACGTCCATTCCCCCTGAAGACTTCAAGCAAGGCTTGAGCGTGCAATCCATGTAGTAGCAGGAGACAAGTGAATACACAAGAAAACTTAAAAATATTAAAATCTGTTTCTTACCCAGAACATTCACAAATGCGTTTGCTAGCAAGTATCCATATTCATTAGAAGCATTGCACTGATAGACAGCACTTGACCTTTCTTGCACATGTGAGAAAATAATGGTATCACCATCTACCTTTCTGCTAGGATCTTCTGGGGCAACTGTTGGTGTAAAGAAAAAAAAAATAATTGCTTTTCCTAAACTGCTGTTGGATGATATGTTTCATACTTCTGAAAAGAAGAAACAATTTCAAAGACTAGTATGTGCTTTTTTCTATTTTCCTGGGTGACTGTTTACTGGTTAAGATGTGAACTTCAGTATGACTAAGGAAGTTCTTCCAATTCTACAAATATTTAACTCAGAATGGTAGAGTTCCCATTTCTGAGGGTTTATGTTTGTTTTTCAAAGAAGTGAAGCTGAGATCGTATTTTACACGCAATACAGAGGAAAAATACTGATATAACAAGATTCAGGCAAATACAGACAACATCTAGACAAATAAGAAAATATTTCTGAATGTCAAAAGAAAACACTGTTAGAATGACACAGTCCTCTGTGACTTACAAGTTTGAGCTTTTCAAATCAATTGTTATACCAGAAATAATTCTCCAAATATAAAAATAGCCTTACTCAGTTGAAAACTGTCTCAGAGTAAAGCATAATCAGTTCTTTCACACAAAAATCAAGTCTTCACAAGAGCACTGATAGTAATTCAGTAGGTGGCACTCTTTCCATTATGTAAGGATTACACAATGCCATTTCCTCAACTGTTCCGTAGTAGCCTGAGCTGTCAAAAAGCCCTTGCATCCCAGAATAGTCGAGAATATAACTGAAAAAAAATTTCTAATGTATTACTGAAGAATAATAGCTGTCAGTTATGATACAACTGGATGGAATTATAGAGGTACAATGGAGAAAAAGTTAGCTTGTAACACCGCACTGCATAAAAATGCAAAGTATAGTTTAATATTTTAAGAAAATATTAAATAAAACCAGATCATTGTATTATTAATAACGAAACAATGGTAAAATTATTGATATACTAATATGAAAAATAAATGCCTATATGCATAAATAAATGCATCATAGTTTGGTTGCATCATCAAAATTGACACCCTTATACTTTATATATGAGAAAGTAATTATATTTGTGGAAGACATTTTCACATAAAATAATTTCTCATTTCTCTGGATTCATAGAAAAGATCAATTAACTAAATTAACATCTATTTTCTGTAAGTGACAAAACCTCTTGATTCAGACAATACCTCAGTACTCAGCTGCAAAGAAAATGGAGAAATTTCTCCTACAACTTCTCAAATCTACTGAAGTATCTATTACTGAATTCTCTAAGAGAGAAGACACCAGATAAAGGGGACCACAGTTCTTTGTTCCTTCTTAAGGGTATTTCCATTTTGGGTGAACTCTAAGGCCATTTTGCATGTGAAGTAACTACAGCAATTTCCAAACAGATGCCTGAAGAACATTTTTAACTCTTATCTTCTGTTGCTCTGAGTTCAAATCAACATCACAAATTCAAAAATTTCAGAAAGGAAGAATAAGGTACTACTGGAATTTTAAATGCTTATTCTCTAGACTTCTGGACTGCTGGCACTTATTTTTCTCCTCTTTTGCTTTACTTCCCATTCTATGTAAATGTCATTTTCATTAAAAGATTCGTGGGCTGAAAATAGACGGAGCAGGTGAGCAGCCCAGCAGGCAGGCCAGTCAGCAGTGAGAAGTGGTCTGTTTCTGCATACAAATCACCGTTAAATGGAAAATACCTACAACCGCCCTCCCAGGAGGTAGGAGATCTGCCCACGGCCGTTCCAATCACTGCTAGTTCCTGCCCCGGGCTCTGGGCTTCCCTCCACTCGTGCCCTCTGAATCCTGCAGCATTTTCTGCACACAGACAGATCTTTAACGGGTGCACAGACTCTCCCCCTCACACACACTCCCATACGCAACACCTTACAGGCAGATCTCAGAGAGATGGAAGCCATTAGTTCAATCCTCTGTGACTGAAGAAGGAACTGGATCTTAAAAGAATGATCTAACCATTAAATTATCATATAAAAAGAAGGGTAGCATCTGCCCTTCCCACTGCTTTTTAAGGGAAAAAAAAAAAAAAGAGAGAGAACCCTCTTCAGTTATTTGAAGGAAAGAAGGCAGGTGTCTGTTCTCAGAAAACGGCTTCAAGCTGTGGGTCCCAAGAGGAAAAAAAAAAAAAAAACAGAGGAAAGCATCAGGTCAGTCAGTGCTTCCTTTTGACTGGTCCAGCCAAGGCATGCTGAAGGGCAGCGATTTTAGAAAGCTCCCTGTTGAGACTGGCATCTATTCAACAGTCTGTCTTCTCACACGCCTCATCCTCCCACGCAACGCCAACAGAACCTACACGTCCTTGCCCAGGTACTACACTGTGTTTTGCAGGGCCAGGCCCTGAAAGTTAGATGCTCTATCATCTGGCTGCTTTAATGATCTTAAGCACCCACTGCTGCACTCACACACACAGAATCTTTGAGGCTAGAAGGGACCTCTGAACGTCATCTGGCCCAATCCTCTGCTCAAGCAGGGCCACCTAGAGCCAGCTGCCCAGGACTGCGTCCAGACAGGGGAAGGATCGCTTCCCTTGACCTGCTGACAATACTTTTGTCTAGTGTAGCCCAGGATAACATTAGCCTCTGCCACAAGGGCACATTGCTGGCTCGTGGTCAACTTGGTGTCCACCAGGATGGCCCAAGTCCTTTTCTGCTAAGTTACTATGCAGCTGGGTAGCCCCCAGCATGTACTGGTGCATGGGGCTGTTCCTCCCCGGGTGCTGGACTTTGCACTTCCCCTTGTTGAACTTCATGAGGTTCTTGTCAGCCCATTTCTCCAGCCTGTTGAGATCCCTCTGGATGGTAGCACAACCCCCTGGTGTATCAGCCACTGCTCTCAGTTTTGTGTCCACCAAACTTGCTGAGGGTATGCTCTGCCCCATTGTCCAGATCGTTAACGAAGATGTTAAACAGGACTGACCCCTGGGGTACACCGCTAGTTACTGGCCTCTGACTAGACTTTGTGCCACTGATCACCACTCTCTGGGCCCAGCCATTCAGCCATCTTTTCTATCCACCTCACTGTCTGCTCATCCAGCCCATCATCAGCTTGTCTATGAGGATCTTATGGGAGACAGAGTTGAAGGCCTCACTGAAGTCCAGGCAGACCATATCCACTACTCTTCCCCTCATCTACCAGGCCAGTCATTTCATCATAGAAATGCATCAAGCTGGTCAAGCATGACTTCCCCTTGGTGAAGCCACACTAACAACTCCTGATGGTTTCCTTGTCCTTAACATGCCTGGAAATGGTTTCCAGAATTAGCTGCTCCATCAGCCTCCCAGGGATCAAGGTCAGGCTGACCAGCGTGCAGTTCCCTGGGTTCTCCTTCTTGCTTTTCTTGAAGATAGGAGTAACATTTGCTTTCCTCCAGTCTTCAGGCACTTCTCGCAGTTACCATGACCAAAGATTATCAAGAGTGGCCTGGCAGTGACATCTGCCATCTTCTTCAGCACTTTGTGGGTGCATCCCATCCGGGCCCATGGAGTTATGTATGTCCAGTTTGCTTAGGTATTCCCTGACCAAGGGTACATCTCATTCCAGCCTTTCCCCCTGGTCTCTGGGAGCTGGGATTCCTGAAGGTCAGTCTTGCTAGTAAAGACTGAGGCAAAGAAGGCATGCACTACTTCAGCCCTTTTCATGTCCTTTTTTTTTTTCTTTTTCTGGGGAAAGAGAGCGATGGCAGGGCCACTCAAGCACTGCTTGTTTGCCTTTATGAGGATTCTGGTCGCATTACAGGATAGCTGCACGAGAAGGAGAAAATGCTTTTGACACATTTGACAAATCTGAATTTGGCACTGATAGGCAAAATAGCAAAGAATTACATAATGCTTAAAATGGGTTTGTACAATCGGGATAATGAATGACGAGGACTTGCTATAGGAGTTCTGCTACTGTAACAGACAGTTGAGCATGTGCCCGGTAACAGCCAACATTTACTCCCAATAAGACTGAATCTCAGCTTATGAATGCGTTTATGTCCTTTCTGGGCAAAGACCCAATTGCCTGGTTTCACCTAATTTTTCCATCACTTTGTACAATAAGACAGCTCCTTGACTCTACAGCCATGTACAACATATTCCTGTACAGAGAAGGTATAGCCTCCATCAGATACGTTTGTCACAGTCATCAGCACCCTGGAATATCTTCTGTTCATCTGAATGCATACTTCCATCTGTTTCATAAACTTCAGACAGCCAAGCAATTACTTTTGTTAGTATGTTTAAATAACCACTATGGCACCATTATTACTTTTTCCTGGAAGAAAGAGACAGAATGAAATGTGCTCTCTGAACAGAAGCAGTTAAAACACAGTATTATGCTTAAAACTGGAAGGAAAAAAATCCAGATTTTGTTGAGAAGTTTTATCCTTTCCTGTTGAAGTATTTCATTTTCCCTATCAATTTTAATTGCTGGTCAATGTGCATTTATGCAAATTCAGGAAGCTAAACGCAATGAAGAACAGAACAACTGTCAACTGATGATGCAGTATATAATATAATGTTATCAGTCCAAATAAGTGATACAAACTTCAGCCTCATCTGTAAGACAGATATGTATTTTGGGCAGAAAATTATTAAGACATGAAATTGGTCTACTGACTTTAAATTCTTTAGCTCAGATCTTTAAGCTCTGTGTAAAATTGGGGAAAAAAATCCATTGCTTGGAGTTGTGGGTTTTTTTAACTCAAACATAAAAAGAAATTTGTTATCATGAGGGTGGTCAGACCCTGAAACAGGATGTCCTTGGAGATAATCAAAATCTGCCTGAACACAGTCCTGATCAACCAGATGCAGATAACACCCTACTTCGAGCAGGCAGGTTGGACTAGATGTTCCTTTCACCCTTGACTATGCTGTGATATTGTGGTTTTAAAATCACCTAACAAACAATGTAGATTGAAAATAATTCACTGGGAAGGAGGTATATACCTTTGATTGTGATTCTGTAATTTGTTATTGTTTAAAAAAGCTAAAAATGTAAAAATCATCATTCCTTATATTGTTACCACATTCTGAAATACAACGAAGTGAGTATGAGATCCAGCTGACATGTGAAGTTC